CCCTGCTGAAAAAGTTTGCTGACCCCTGGCCTGCTTCATCTATACAAGCAGCAAAGGTCTGCAGCCATCCTTTTCCTGACGTGGAGCCTTGTGCTCTTCCTGCCACTGTCTTACCTGCAGGAATTCACTCTCTGGCTGCTGGCGCTTCTCCTGCATCTCCTGGATGAGCCTTTTCACATAGGAGAGTTCCCTGGAGAGCCTGGCCAGGTGCTCTTCCCTTTTCCTTGCAATCTCCTTCTCCACCTTTTCTATCTCATTCAGCAGACATTTTTCTTGTTCTTCGATAAACTGGTGCAGTTGTCTGAACTTCTCCGCTGTCTTCTGCCTCTCAGCTTCTGTTAATTTCTGCAAGGTGCGGGAAGAGAGAAGAAAAGCGGAGCCCTGAGCCTGGAATATGGGGCCTCACGAAAACAAGACGTGAGTCTTCCACAGGGAGGGCACTTGGGACTTTTCATGGACACAAAATCAACTTCCTGCTGGTGAAGAAGTTCCCTTCAGGCATTAAAAGAAACATGGTGCTTTAGACTGGCATCTTAAACAAGTAGGAACAGGAGGAGGTCAAAGGTGGCATGTTCATCCCCAGCACTCCCCATTTACAGTTGTACCTCAGGTTACTTATGCTTCAGGTTACAGACTCTGCTAACCCAGAAATAGTCTGGCGTCCAGAGGGCCAAATATGGCGCCTGGCAGGCTTCATCTGCGCAGACAGCACGCTGCTGATCACAGCAATGTCCTCTTGCCTCTCTCTGGACGGTTTTTTAGCAGAGCGATACACAAAGGTGAAATACTGCTGCAGTGTGGGGATCATAAATCAGGCTTGCACGCAGGCTTCTCTTATCTCTAAACGCTTTTATTCGGGTAGCATAACATCGTAAATCAGTCTCAAGCTCCCGGAGACGACCCGCACATCCTCCCTCTTGAACAGAGCGGAAGAGAAGAACACACGCAGAGAAACCACTCCCATACGTGTGAACGTAACCACGCCTCATGATGCAAGACGTCACACAGAACCTCTTAACCCTGTAGGTTCTGATTCCTCCACAAATAGTACCTCGGGTTAAGAACTTTGCTTCAGGATGAGAACAGAAATCACGGCGCGGCGACAGCAGGAGGCCCCATTAGCTAAAGTGGTGCTTCAGGTTAAGAATAGTTTCAGGTTAAGAACGGACCTCCGAAACGAATTAAGTACTTAACCCGAGGTACCACTGTACTTTAAAGCTTCAAGATGGCTTGAGTTTCCTAAAAATTAGTAATGTATCCATTTTTGTAGAGGGTCAGAGGGTTAGGTCAGCTGTCAGCTCAGAACTAGAAGGACAAATGGTAGAGAGGTAACTTCGGGAGGCAGAAAATGCCAGTTCAGGCCTGGAAAGTGCCCACCTTCTCCTGCACCAGTGAATGAGAGCTCACGCTCATCTCAAGCCTGGTGAATTTGCCAAATAGCTCTTCCTGAAAAAAATATGCAGTGAAATACAGTAATCTTCTGAAATTCACACATCTCCAAATTTAGCCAGGTTACCCCAGCCAGGTAACATTTACAAGAATAAGGGTGAAGTATGAATACAGATGAATTTATCGTTCCAAAATAAATTTATTGATATGCATTGATTAAGTTTGTAACATTAAGAATAAACATCGTAAGATTGTTCATGGGGTTAAAGTAACTAATATATATAACACAGTGTTAAGTTATAAAAAAAGAAAAAAAGGATGTTGAGCTGTGGTGGAGGGAAGTCCCAATAGTAGAAACAAGGAAAGTAGATATGAAATAGATATAACATAGAATGTACTGTTAAAAATGGAAACTTATAATTGATTGTAATATTTCATACTTTATATTTTGTATATTCTAAAATAAAAAATAACATTAAGTTCTAAACAAAGGTTATAAGAATTCTAATGTCTCAAATATAGAATAAATATTCATAAATGCATATATATCTAAATATATAAACCATGTGTCTGAAATAGTACAGGAGAGCAATCCTGAAGCCATTTTGACTCTCCCAATGACCTCAAATATTCCTCTGCCCTAAGGGAGGCAAATGGAGAAAGCCTTCCCATTGTCCTTTCGCTTATAAATCCTGTCTTAAGAGCATATTTGTATATGAATAGGGGGAGCCCACGACCTGGATTCAGGAGCTAAACTATTAACCATCACAAAAGAATGGGCAGGCTGCCCTGGTAACGCAAACTGCGACCATTATCAGGTATCCTGACAGATAGGATTTCTGCTGTAGACCGCCTCCTATGATGTATGTATGATTTTGGGGTGGTCTTTGGCTAAGGGGGTTGGGCAATGTCAAAAGTCTTTAAATGTTCCTGCACACTTTTGTTCAGGCTCTCTCCGTCCATGGAAGGAGGGGAGGGAACTCTCTTGCAAAAAATAAATAAAATATCTGCCTTGCTTTGTATTGGATCCTGCCTCCATCCATTCTCTGACCGATCAAAAGCCAAACCCCAATTTTTACATCACTAGTAACAACAGTGACACTTACAAGGAGGTCCTCACATTCCTTTTTCACGTCTTCTTGATAGGCCAGAATTCTTTCTCTCTCTCTCCTCAGAATCTCCAGGCGTCTACACATCAGTCCCTAAAAACAAACAAACAAACAAACAAACAAACAAACAAACAAACAAACCCAAAAGCTCAGGTTTGAATCAGAGAAGCAGAAGTGTTGATTGTTTATTTATTTTATTTATCACACTGATATACCATTATCTTCCAAGAATCTCAAGGTGGTATCCATGGTTCTTTTCCTCCCCATTTTATCCGCACAACAACCCTGTTGTGGCTAAGAGATGGTGACTGGCCCAAGGTCACCCAGCAAGCTCCATGGCTGAGTGAGGATTCGAACCCTGTCCTCCCAGGCCAGGCGTAGGCAAACTTGGCCCTCCAGATGTTTGGGGACTACAATTCACATCATCCCTGACCACTGGTCCTGTTAGCTAGGGATTATGGGAATTGTAGTCCCAAAACATCTGGAGGGCCAAATTTGCCTATGCCTGTCCCAGGCTCTAGTGTAACACTCTAACCATTACGCCACACAGTTAAGCTAACCTCTTGGTGGCCTTGCTATTACCTCTTTATCACATAAAGTGCTCTGGAACATTCTAGAATTTTTTCGAATTTAATTCATTTTATTGAGAATAAATAAGCAATGGTTAATGATTGTTTTAAAATTTTTGATATATTATTATAGGAATGGTGTAGAAACTTGCATAAAATCAGTATTTATTGGGGGGATGTGTATCATGTCCACCCATGTTTTTATAAACAAAAACAACGTTACAAAACACAGGAGCAGTGCGCAAGATGTATTTTCCAACTAAGCAGAGAGAAGGTCATGTAGGAAAATAAAAGCAGCAAAACACATATTGAAAGCCAAATTTTGCAATTTGGTGGCGGTGGTGGGAGAGTTTTGTATATCTGAATTTGTCACAAAATTGAAGTCCCTCCATCTCATGTAACCTAAGAGTTACAGAAAAGCTCCCAAGAATAATCCAAAAACCCCCAAATCGAGAATGATTTCTTACCTTGTACTCCTTGGAAGCCTCTTTCAGAGGAATCGTCTCGTGACACACGTGCTCTTTGGATCTGTCGCACACAAGACAAATGGGGGCTCCGTCCTCCTTGCAGAAGAGTTTCAGGGGCTCCTGGTGCTTCTCACAAACCTTTTCTTTCCCTCCTTCCTCCTTCCCCTCTTGAAGACTGAGCTTCTTGGCTATTTCTACCACGTTTTGCAACGGCCAGTTTGGGATGAGGCGCCTTTCCTGAACCGTTTCTCTGCAGTGAGGGCAGAAAGCCTCTGCCTCCGATCCCCCCCAGGACTGGATCAAGCAGGACCGGCAGAAGTTGTGCCCACATTCTGGGATCATCACCGGATCCTTGAAATAGTCCAGGCAGATGGAGCAAGTGGCTTCATCGCAAAGACTCTGCACGGGACCCCCAGCAGCAGCAGCAGCCATGGCTCCCTCGCGCCAAAAACAAAGCAAACTTCCACTTTCTCCGTTTTTCAGCCAATGGGCGTTTCCCTTCCTGCAGGATCTCGGTGCTGATGGGACTTTTTTTAAAAGAAGAAGCAGACCCGCCTCTGCAGCTGCTTAATGTTTTCTCAAATAGCCTTGATTGCTTCATCATTGCCGCGATTGCTTCTCTCTCTCTTCCTCCCCCCCTTCATTAGAACTATATAGACACATAGATTTATACATATCGTTGTGCATTGTCCTGAAATAATAAATGCTTTTACCCGCCTCTAAACTAAACTAAATCCTTGTCATTGTGGAGAAACAGCCTCTGCTTCAAGGCAATCCACTTCCCCAAGGGCAGAGCTGTGTAGCAGTCAGTCCAGCCAGTCCAGGAACCTCTCTCTCTTTTTAATTGTTATTTATGCTTTTCAAATTTATACATTTCATTAATTTTACAATCATTTTAATTAACATTTCCCAATTTGACTTCCTTCCCCCTCTTTCTGCAGTTCCATATTTTTCTTTTTAATATCTGCATATCTAAATTTACTTAATTTACTCCTTTTTTAAAATAAATAAATAAATCTACTTTAAATATATACTCTTATAAAACTGCAGGCCATTACAATAAACCTGCCAAATGTTTTTATCTGTTTACAATTTATCTGTACATACTCCACAAACCATTTCCATTCTTTTATAAAAAGCTTGTTGCCTTGATTTTTTATTCTCCTGGTAAGTTTCGCCATTTCTGCATATTCCATAAGTTTTTGTATCCATTCTTCTTTCGCTGGGATTACTTCTTTCCATTTTGGGGCAAGTAACATTCTTGCTGCTGTGGTAGCATACATGAATAAGTTTATGTACTGTTTAGGTTGTTTTTACCCTGTAATTCCCAAGAGAAAAGCTTCTGGTTTCCCCCCAAAGTTATTTTAAACATCTTTTTCAATTCATTATATATCATTTCCCAGTAAGCTTTAACCTTACTTACTACAAGACCACCGCATATGATAAAAAGAAACTTCTTTCTCTTTACATTTCCACAGTCCAGGAACCCCTCTCACAGTAGCCAGCAGGGCATCTCTCTGAAGCCCACAGGTTTTCTCTTCTAGACCAGGCAGAGATCCATGTTGCTTTCCCTCGGATCTCATAGCGAGTGACACAAGGAGAGCCAGCCCAACTCAAGCACCAAAGGCAACCTTGGGAGCAGTGGAAAGGAAATGGGGGAGGAGAGAAACAGTGTTCAAAATTGAAACTATTTTGCAAAAAAAACCACAGAAAAGGGGAAGCATCACTTCCTCTCATTTGCAACGAATTCATGGTGGATGCCATTGCTCTGCAGTCCAAGGTCAGTACATTTCTAGATTAAATTGTGGGAAATGGCTGCATCCAACTTAACATGTTGGGAGGGGGCCCGCTCTGAATCACACCGGCCAGGACCAGACCCCAGGAAACCCCTCCTCATTTCCTGCCTTGGGTTGTTTACTGAGAGGCCGCTGCAGAGGAGGCACTGGGATGGGGGGCTGCCGAGGAGGTACCAGATCCGACCTCCAAGGATGTACCGCAATCATGCATCCCTTGGAGGCCAGATTTGCTGCCCCATGGATCCTGCCACCAAAGGCAGTCACCTCACCTAATATAGATCTATTAACAGAGAGTTTCTGTCTCATTTCTCCTTACTGACAAAGAGAAGTTTTCACCAAAGCTGGGCTTTGTAAAATCTGACGATGTGCTTTGAAAAAGAGAAAAAGGGAAGCATGAAGTGTGTTTGCATTCTCACCCACCATATCAGACATGCAGCTGAAAGGGCAGAGGGGAAATGGGTGTTACACTTGCAGGACACACCATCCTGCGGGGTGACTGTTGGCGTTTATGGCGTGAAGTCTGCCATAAACAGATTTGCCTGGCACACTTCCGACCAGATTTTGAGCAGAGGTAAAATACAGTTTGCAACTAAGAGTGAGGCAATTCGGACCTGAGTCTGGATTGATGACACAGTTGTCTAAGCAGATTGCTTTATTGCCTGTCATTTTGCTTAATGGTTGCTATTTACAGAGACTGCTGTGGATCCCCACAGTGGAAGATCCGCTTGCATCCTCTCAGCAGATCAAAACCAAAACTCTCTTTTTTCATAACATATTAGGATTTAGGGGTGAGCACCTAGCAGTTCGAAAGCACATCAAAGTGCAAGTAGATAAATAGGTACCACTCTGGCAGGAAAGTAAACGACGTTTCCGTGCGCTGCTCTGGTTTGCCAGAAGCGGCTTAGTCATGATGGCCACATGACCCGGAAGCTGTACACCGGCTCCCTCGGCCAGTAAAGTGAGATGAGCGCTGCGACCCCAGAGTTGGCCACGACTGGACCTAATGGTCAGGGGCCCCTTTACCTTTACCTATTTTACAATTGGACCCCAGTCTCTGTTTGAAGCAAAGGGCCAGGTTAGATGGGATGCTAAAAATGTCTCATGCTAGGAAATACTAGTCAGGGTTGGTGCATTGTTCGCTGGGACCAACCCTTTCCTTTCCTTCTCCAGCAGTCTTGATGAAAATCACTTCCTCCACAGATGCTGCCAGCCCCCTGGCAGTTTTCTGAGAGATTTGCGTGGTGCGTATATTAGTGCCATTTGAGTGTCAGGCAAAGGGTGGTCTTGGGCTACACCCCTTCTGTGATGTATGTATGATGTTTCTGGGGGTGGTCTTGAGCTACAGGGTGGGCAATTTCAGATTCTATATAAGGGCTTGTGCACCATTATTCTGGGTCCTCCTCCGCTCTCCTGCATGTGGGGGGAGCACCCTGTTGCAACAGCTTTAATAAAGCTCAGGCTTATAGCCGTTTTGCTTTTGTATATCTTGGTCTGGTCTCTGTTCATTTCCCAGCCAGTTTGAGCCTTAAAGGTACGCTGTCTCTGAAGGTCCAGTCTTCCTTTAGAAGCTGAACCCCTTGAAGGGACCTCTCAATATTCTTATAAATCTTTATTGCCCAGTGGTTTTTGCAGGTTTCTGCCCTGCTCAAGCTGCTTCTCTTTGCTTTGTCATATTACAGCTTCCCTTTCTATCAACAAAGCCGCAAACTCTTCACCCACTATGGCCTCAGCATCACCATCTGTGGACATGGACCAGGACGCCTTGTGTCCCATCTGCAAGGACTACCTCACAGATCCAGTGACTTTGGACTGTGGACACAACTATTGTCAGGGCTGCGTCACCAGTTATTGCAAGATATGGGAAGAACAGGCTATGGGGCACTTGGAGTGTCCCATCTGCAGAGCCCAAATGCAGAGAGGGAGTTTCCGCCCCAATTGGCAGCTGGCAAGTATAGTAGAAAAAATTAAACTCCTGCAGTTAAATAAAGGGGGAAAGGATATGTGTGTGAAACACAAGAAGTACCTTGAACTGTTCTGCAAAGAAGATGAAAAATTGGTTTGTGTGGCTTGTGAACGATCCCCAGAACACAAATCGCACACTGTGGTGCTTGAGGAAGAGGCTGCCCAGGAATACAAGGTAGGAAGTTATCTTGACACTTAGTAATGCAATCCTTTCAATTTTTTGTGAAATATTGCAATGTGGCTGGAAAGCAATTCCCGTGGCAATTAGATATGTTATTATGTACGGTTAAACAGCCTGGAAACACACAGAACAACTGTAAGTTTTAAGGAGAACCCCACCACCAATAAAATATAAAATGCTGTAAAATATTAAAATCCTTAATCCTGAGCTAGGTTGAAGTGATGGACATGAGGCAGGAGTTGATAAAGCAGGTGAGCTGCGCACAGGTGAGCTGCATGCAAGCTGCTGGCCAGCCCTGTGGAGCTTCCTTTTATTGAGACAAATATGCAAACCAGGCAGATACATTTTGGGCTGTGACCTTTACACATCTTCCGGTCCTGAGATCATGGGGTGGTACAAAGTTATTTTGGCACCTGTTTCCGCCGCGTCATTTTCCCCTTGCACAGTGTATGACGAAGGAGACAAAAGGTCTCAGAGACAAAGGTTACAGACAGGACACTGCAGTCTACTGAGACCACAAAAGGTTAGACAGTGGCAACGATGTTCAGACAGCCGTGGCTTTGTCTGTGAGGGGGGTGTGTGCTCCGCACCCCAAGGTCACGCGTGCAGGCAGGCTGAGGCTGCCTGCGGGTGGGGAGTGTGCTCCCTCCGGACCCCACTCCCCACTCCGCGATCATCCCTACACTAGGTGACAATGTTTTTAAAAAAGAAAGAAAGAAAAATGTGCTACTAAAGAGTCAGGTACCAGCCACCAGCTGACGCGGAGAGAAGACAGCACTCAAATTTCTTAAAAATACAAAACTATATGCTGGATGCAGATGTGTTAGTAAACAATCTCATTTAAGATTAGCAGTGAGGCCATTGGCATTTAATCCAGGACTTTCCAAAAGCTAACACATGCTGGATGAAACCTCCGAAACCTCAAGTTTCATATCCTTCCAGATCAAGCACCATAATATAAGGAGATCCAGGCTGGGTCAAGTCAAAGGCCCATCTAGACCAGCATCCTCTTATCACAGTGGTCAGACAGCCAGGTAACCCTTCTGGGAAGCCATTAGGTGGGACCTGAGCACAACAGCACTGCCCCCTCCTGAGGTTTCCAGTATTCAGAAGCAAATACTCTACCACACTGGAGAGTCACTGCTGTATTTACTTCTGACCCTTCAAATGAAAACCTTTTCTCCACAACACAGCAGCAACTGGGGGTCAGGGGTTAGATCAGGGTGAGGAGACACAGTTCTTAGTTCTCATTAAAAAGTGGGCTTTTATGTTGCTGGATGAGACTCTTGAGAGTCCCATGGACTGCAAGCAGATCAAACGTATCCATCCTTAAGGAAATCAGGCCTGAGTGCTCACTGGAAGGACAGATCCTGAAGCTGAGGCTCCAATACTTTGGCCACCTCATGAGAAGAGAAGACTCCCTGGAAAAGACCCTGGTGTTGGGAAAGATGGAGGGCACAAGGAGAAGGGGACGACAGAGGTCGAGATAGTTGGACAGTGTTCTCGAAGCTACCAGCATGAGTTTAACCAAACTGTGGGAGGCAGTGGAAGACAGGAGTGCCTGGTGTGCTCTGGTCCATGGGGTCACGAAGAGTCGGACACGACTAAAGAACTAAACAACAACAAGAGCCTTTGCAGATGCTACTCTCAGTCGCAATCACAATCTGAGCTTTCGTTTCCTCTTTAGGGACTGATCTGCAGCCATCTGGAGATTCTGAGAAAAGAGAGAGAAACAATTCTGGCCTATCAAGCTGACACGGAAAAAGAAAGCCAAGATCTCCTTGTAAGTGTCACTAGGAGTAGTTATTATTTTTTTAAAGTCCTCATGAAAATCAATCAGCATCTTAGTGCAATTTCTGCTAACATGTTTTAAACAACTATATATAGCTTTATAAAGAGTTATATAATTATATAACTTTTTGTAGACATCTGAAGGCAGCTTTTCATGTTTGATGTGGTCTCCCCCCGCCCCCCGTATTTCTGCTGGAAGCCACACAGAGTGTCAGTCAGATGGGTGGGGTATAAGAAAATAGCAGTACTGTAGTAGTAGTATGCAATTTTGCCTAGTATACACATTTTTTGCAAAGCAATTTCCCATAATATTATTCCTTTTTCTATGCCTTAATAAATGCATTTTAATGCACACTTTACCTTAGTATGTGCATTTCTGTAGTTATTACTTGGCCAAAGAACTGCATTTCAAAATTCAAAGAAATGTGAATTTCAAAAGATTGTGGAGTTTCTCTCTGCATGTTTTCCCCCAGAAACTGCTAATGAGGTAATTTTGCATTTGAAGCCAAGCTGAACTGAATCTCTTCCCCATGTGGCAGCTCAGATCCACAGAACATAAATTAGTTGCAACCTTCTGATTAGCCTTATTGATTCTAAAAGAAATGTCTTTCTAAATGTGCACTATCTTTAATCTTTAGGAAGCTCAAGTCGACTCAAGACTTTAAAGTAAGCAGAGCAGTGCTGGGGATGTGCAGGCTAGATCCGCCCCGCTTCTCCTCTGTTTCTAGTAATTTACTAGTCATGAAAGAAAGGTAAAGGTAAAGGACCCCTGGACAGTTAAGTCCAGTCAAAGGCGACTATCGGGTTTCGGCACTCATCTCACTTTCAGGCCGAGGGAGCTGGCGTTTGTCCACAGATAGTTTTCCGGGTCATGTGGCCAGCATGACTAAACCGTTTCTGATGCAATGGGACACCGCGATGGAAACCAGAGCGCACGAAAATGCCGTTTACCTTCGTGCCACAGTGGTACCTATTTATCTACTTGCACTGGTGTGCTTTTGAACTGCTAGGTTGGCAGGAGCTGGGACAGAGCAATGGGAGCTCACCCTGTTGCACGGAACTTCTGATTGGCAATCCCAAGAGGCTTAGTAGCCAGTGTGAAGTGAGGGCTGTTTTATGTCTATGGAAACTCTCTGAACAATGTAGAAACCAAATTATGCCAAGTTCAGAACTGTACCAGGAACCTCCATAGATAGAAAAAAGCTCATTGCTTCCACAAGGTGGATGGCAACAGAAAGAAAGATAGATAAACTTTATTCGCATTAGCCAACGGCCATAGCAACATAAAACAAGCAATATATACAATTAAAAATACAACAATGGGTAAAAAGGACAATCATATGGCCAAGATTATCGTTCAGATAGTTGCTCTTAATCTCATTGCACCCTTGATAAACCTAGCAACCTTTGCTGTTGTCTGATCATTTTGATCTGATAAAAGAAAGAACAATGTGGCCGCAGATGGGTGGCGTAAGAGTGGGGTGACGATCTCATTCCTCAGATCTTTATAAAGGGGACAGGACAGGAGAACACGAGCCACTGTTTCCAGATTGTCATCACCACAGGGGCAGAGTCGTTTCTCAGTTGGAATCTTTTGGTGTCTGCCCTCAAGCAAGGCAGAGGGCATCACATCCAATCTGGCCAGTGTGAAGGCACGTCTGTATTTTGGGGTAGTTAATTGATACAAATATGGTGCCAGGAAATCAAACTGAGAAAGGGGGGGAGGAGGCATACTAGGGACAGAGTTTCTTTATAATGGCCAGATTGCTCTGTTGTTCTAAGTCCTTCAGACGCTGTCCAATTAGCCTTTTTGCTTTAAAAAAGCCCATCGTGAGAAGCTGATGTGGGTGGAGTCCGCAGGAGAGGAATTTTTGGTGCACAGTTTTAGACCACACACTTTTATGGCAACAGAAATGGCAAGGAATAGGGCAGAGCCAATGTGTTCATGCCTGCTGCCTCCCCACTGTGTTTACTTTAAAACCTGAAGAAGAAGGCTTCCTTAGCAACTGAGAGCTCGTTCACACTTCCACTTGTCCTGAGCCTAGAAAGCACAAGTCCAAGCAGTTTCCCCCTTGCCCCACACCTTTCCCAGTGAAAACTGCTGCTTGCTTCTAAATTCAAGCGAATGTCCAGAGAAAACCCAAATTTTAGAGGAAATGTGGATAAGCCCTTAGCATTGGTTTCATGTCTTTGAAAAAAAGCAAGTGTCCTCCCAGTGGAATTTTCATAACTCTCCTCCTGATGTTGTAAAGACTGAGACCATATTCCAGACTCTTGTTGTCTTTCTTCCTGCTTCTTGCAGAAATTAACAGAAACTGAGAGGCAGAAGATAGTGGAGAAGTTCAGAAAACTGTACCGGTTTCTTGAAGAACAAGAAGTAGACCTGCTGAATCAGATTGAAGAAGTGGAGAAGGAGATTGAAGGGAGAAGAGATGAGCAGCTGGCCAGACTCTCCAGGGAACTCTCCTCTCTTAAAAAGCTCATCCAGGAGATGGAGGAGAAGAGTCAGCAGGCAGCAAGTGAACTCCTGCAGGTAAGATGGTGGCATGAACAGCACAAGGCTCAACTTGGGGACGAGGCTTTCTCCAAACCTTTATGTCCCTCTTGCATCTATAAAAGTAGTAAAGGGACTCAGCTGATGGAGGCAGATGCACCTCCCTAGGGAGGGCCTTCCACAACTAGGGAACCAGCACTAAAAAGACCCTGTCACAGGGCAGTGCCAACGGAGCATGCCAAGTACTAAGGGGGAAATGAAACTTATACCCATGAAGCTTTAACATTTTGTAATACATTCCTCGCCCCCCCCCATTCAGCCAGAATCATACACATCACTTTCTGTCCTATGTGTTGCCAGGCTCAGGCTCATTTTGCTTTGCAAAGTACATCAACAGCTTTAATTAACAAAAGTAACATTCTTATTCCACGCAGATGCTTTCTCATATCCAGTTGTAACCCATATTCTCTATTCTAGAGTCTTATCCACAGGTCTGGGGTGAGAACAGAGTAGTCCCTGGGGAACCTTTGCAATAACACAGCTCTGTCCCTTCCCTTTAATCAAACAACTTTGCAAGTGCATGCAACAAAGTTAATACATCTTTTTGACCTCCACGCCACATTCAATCAATCACCTGCAGCTTTGTTGACATCTTGTCAACAGGGGTGCCCCTTCACTTAGATCCGATTATCCAAATTTAAGGGGAATCTGCAGCGTTAAGCAGTTGTAGATCAAGGCTGTCTCATTGATGGAGTCTCGGAGCCCAGAGCCCTGCCTCATTGGCCTACAAACAACGATTTCCACCCCTGTCAGCCACCAGCTTTGGCATGAAAGGGCTTCTGCACCTCCTTTACATTGTAAGGGTCAAAGGGGCTCACTCACCCCCTCCCCAACCACAAACATTTGTGTGTGCTAGGCAGACTGATACCAGAGGGCCAGAGTCCATCCATCCCAGGGCTGAAGGGGTCTCATAATGTGGCCTGTGGTGTGCAGTGAATTCCTTTCTCTTTCCCCCTCTAGGATGTGAGAAGCACCTTGCAGAGGTGAGTGGATCCTGCTCATTTATGTTAGCATCACTCCGTAAGGCCTGGGAAAGTCCAGAAGGACAAAAAACTTGGCCCTCCGGGCTCCCAACAAAGAGACAGTAGGACTCCACCCTCTGTATCATTTCACTGGCGCACATAGGGGCCTCTTTTTTGAACTTGTAGCACTCCTATTCTCAACCCAAGAATAAGGACCAAAACACTGCTTCCTCCCTCCCCCAACCACACATTGCTGGAGGCTCCTGTTGGATGTTGTATTCATTGCCTTGCTCTTCAAAAGCCATAAGCAAGGCAAAGTTGGATTTTGTTTTGAGCAATGGAACAAAGGCCTCAGGCAGCAGGTGCTGGAGTGAGTGGTTCCCATCTTCCTGAGCCAGCACCTCAGCAGTGGGAAGGCTTAATTCTGGTTGGCCTGGGCTGCCTGCCTGTCTCACGTCGTCACCTTCTCCCCACCTGCAAAGTGTCATAACCAAGGACACTGGGAACGGCCACTGACTAAAGGAATAGGCATCTCAGAGGCATACCCTTGACCACGCCAGGCATGGAGAAGGCCCATGAACTGCTCTGCTTCCATGACAGACCCTGACTACCAGTGCCTCGGCGTGGCAGCATTTGCCTGAGAGGGCAGGAAGCCGGTTCTCATGAGGGCCTTTTCACCTGCTATACTTAAAACTCTTTCACTGAAGACTCTTGTGGGAGAGATAGAACAAGGCTTGCAGACACACCAGGGTCTCTGTGGGCGAGGGTCCTGGAGGATGCCCCTCAGTTTCTCCTCTGTTACCCCTTGCACAGAGCTCCTTGGAATTCCTTCCCTACTGGAAAATCTGATTTGGTTGTACATCTGTGGAAGAACTACCTCAGCCTCTGAGACCATCTGGTGCTAGAGCAAAAGTAATCTAAGTTGTCCAACCATGATACCAGCAACCTCAAGAAACAAATATTTTAGCCTTGCTCAAGTCTTGCTAAGAAAGTGGCTACTCTATACTTCCACACAACAGGAGAAAGTTACATTCTTTGGAGCAACCAGTGTTTTAGTTCTTCCCCTCAAGATATACCAGTTCAGTCACACTCCAGCAAACCCCCATGTACCACTCAAGTTCAGATTAAAGGTCACAGCAGCCATCTTTTTCTTCTCCACACCTTCACTGGTGACATCTAGAGAAAGGAAATGTGTGTTGTGATGTCATCGCACCCAGGATATTTCATTCCGCTTTCTTGTAGAAATCAATGAAGTGAAGTTGGGGCAGAGAAACTGAGTATTACAATATTACCCGATGGTGTTGAATAGATGTATGTGGCCTGGGGTAGCTATTCTGGCCCTCCAGTGTTTGGCTATGAAGTCTGTAGTGACCGGAAATCTCTTCCTCTGTGCCTGCCTGCCCCTCTAGGCTTTCTACCATTTTCTTCCTCCTCTTTTTTCTTTTCCTTTACTAGGAATTATGGCTTTGAAAGTTTAACATTCTTTTTCATCAGATATGAGAGAAGAGAGAGACTGCAGAATCTACTGGCTTTCCCCCTAAAGCTAAAATGGAAGGCCTCCAGATTTTGTGATGTGAATCTCCATCTGGAGGACGTGATAAAGCAGTTCAAAGGTATTGAAGAATGGTTGCAAGGAGTTTATGCTCAGCATTATATTAGACCAACAAGGAGCTTGCCAGGCGCTTACTGTATTGTATTTTGCTCTTGCTGTAGACAAGGGTAGGACCATCATACTCGTGGTCAGGCATCCCCAAACTCGGCCCTCCAGATGTTTTGGGACTACAACTCCGATCATCCCTGACCACTGGTCCTGTTAGCTAGGGATGATGGGAGTTGTAGTCCCAAAACATCTGAAGGGCCAAGTTTGGGGGTGCCTGCTCTTGGTGGTCCAGCCATCATTGGATTTTCCTCAGAAAAAAATTATGGGGTATAAGAAATTGTGACTGCCACAAATAAAGAAAACCCACACTAGGCTGTATATTAAGGCAGGATTTCCCCCTTCTATTGTGCATCTGTTTACAATTCCTTTGGAATGAGAGCTCTGCCAGTCCTTCCTCAGCAAGCTTAGTTTCTCATGGTGTTTAACAATTCTGGCTTTAATAATTTCCCCTACCACTAAGGCTGCCTCCATCTCCCCCCTGCATCCTGTTACAGGATTGCTATTGCTTGGGCTACCCTCTGCTACGGACCCCAATTTCAGGGAGAACATTCATAGACAATCAGATTTAATGTGGGATTTTTTTATTCTCCTGTTTTGAAGTCTCGTTTACCATTGCTGAGTTTTACAGTTTTCTTCTTAAGTTGTTAATTCTTTGTTCTACCACTTGAAATAAGGATACGACAGATTCTGTGTTGCTTTTCTATCAATACTTTATTGAGGTATAGCAGTGCAGTGTTTAAACTTGATATATTTCTTCTTCTTCTTCAGATGCTGTGTTATTCAAACTACAGTTTCAGAAAGGTAAATTTGCAATGGCAACCCAAATGCAAAGGAGGAAGGGGCACTGGTATTTCTTTGGGGGTTAGATCATCTTTTCTTTAGACTTTGGAACCATCAGTAGGTTAATAGCTTTATAGCAGCATTTGAGTTCTTCATATGTACATTGAATGACCATAGGATGGGTTTATTTTATTTTATTTTATTTTATTTATTTCATTTCATTTCACTTCATAAAATTTATACACTGCTTGTTTGTAAAACAAAAAACCGTCTGAAACCTAGCGTGGAAATGGCCTTTTTCTGCACACTGGGTCAACATCATCATCAAGCTATCTTACTATGAGCCCAAGGTTTCATGCATCACTTTTGTTGAATTGCATTTGCCATTTTACTGCCCATTCACTCAGTTTCTGGAGCTCTTCAGTGTCTCTTTTTTGGTTCAATACAGTCATCATAACTAAAATCAGGGAGCAGCAGCATCTAAAATTACAATCATCATAATAAAATGTCTTGAGCTCCTTTTTGTAATCTCTTTGCAGTCACAACTTTGCATTCTGTCCCTGTGCACAGTTTCATTCAGGATGACATTTTGCTGGGTGCTCCACCTCTACCCTGTATGCAAATATGCTATGCACTGAGAGCAAAATCATCCATTTGCTTTTATACATATATGTTCACGGTTTACCAATTATGATTATTATTTATGCAAATATTGAATAATAGTTTTCAAACTGCTCTGGGGATGGGAGGAGGAGGAGGATGTGTGTGTGATGATACTGGCACTAGCCAATAGGCACCCACCACAGCCAAGTTTCACTAGATAAGCTACAAACTGGCAGATCCAGTTTAGGCACGTCTTGTTTCAAGGCATGCGGAAATACAAATGCAGGTGTGCTTTCAGTACAATATCTGAGCTTTAAAACAACAACTGTCGAACCCAGGGAAACTTTGGCAGGCTTCAGGATAGCAAATGTGCACATAAGAAAACAACATGGAAGGAAAGTTCAGAAGTTCACAAGGCAAGAAAATCTTCTTGGTTGCTTAATTTTGCTTCTTTCCCAGATTGAAATGTGACCCTTGAGCCAGAATTAGTCATACCTCCAACTGAAGCAGAAATAGGTACAGTGGTACCTTGGTTCTTGAACGGCTTAGTTGCTGAACAAATTGGCTCCCGAAAACTACAAACTCGGAAGTAAGTGTTCCAGTTTGCGAACATTTTTTGGCAGCTGGACATCTGACGCAGCTTCCACTTGAGTGCAGGAAGCTTCTGCAGTGAATCAGAAGCCGCGCCTTGGTTTTCAAATGGTTTCGGGAGTCGAATGGACTCCCAGAATGGATTACGTTCGAGAACCAAAGTACCACTGTAATGGGTTTGCCCTGATACACTCCCCAACTGTAACCTTAGTGAGGGCATTAAAGATTCTGTGGTGGTTCTCTCTGTTGTGTATTGAGTCAAAGGATTTTATATCTGTATTATTAGTGTCTGTATTTGCATTAGGGTAAAGTAACTGCCTTTTGGTTCCAGAGGGTACAGCTACTATTGGTTCATTTAAGCTGCTGTATTTGGATCCTCTGTCTTATTGGTTTCCTCCAAAAGGCAGGACTGTGATTGCCTGATATTGTTCCCTCCAAAATGTATCCTTTCTAGCTAGTTCCCTGTCCCTATAAATGTAGCTCTTCCCTCCTCAGGTCTCAGTCTTGTTTGCTTTAATAAAGAAGTGTTACTAGAGAACTGTCTCCAGCATATTATGTCAAGAGAGCTGAAATCACAAACCCCATGTCACAACACTCTCCTTACCTAAACTGGGGTGCTCTCATTCCTCACATCCCTGAAGCCCCAAATGACCATTTCTCACAGAGAGTGTCAGATGAGGGCAAATTCCTTCCTCCCCTGCCCCTTCCAATCCCTTTCCCCTTCTCCTTCGCTTAGAGCTGAATAAAGGTTTACTGGGTGCTTTTGCTTCTTGGAAGATGCCTGGATTGACAGCAGGGGCCCAATCCTGATTTAAAAGCCAACTTGGGTTACATACACTTCAGGTTACATACGCTTCAGGTTACATACGCCTCGGGTTAAGAACTTTGCTTCAGGATGAGAACAGAAATTGTGCTCTGGCAGTGCGGTGGCAGCAGGAGGCCCTTTTAGCTAAAGTGGTGCTTCAGGTTAAGAACAGTTTCAGGTTAAGAACAGACCTCCGGAACGAATTAAGTACTTAACCTGAGGTACCCCTGTATATTTATTTTGATAAGAGCCTGGAAGAAGGGGGGAGGGTCTCAATCCTGCAAGTGATGCAAAGAGGTGCCATTTCTTTGAGAGGGGTTTATTAGATCAGGATGCCCTCTCTGACTCTCGGCTGATTCTGCCTCTCTTCTCTTTCCCTTATCTTCCCTCAACAGCAAATGTCACTCTGGATCCAGACACAGCCCATGCCAGGCTCATCCTGTCCGAGGATCAGAAAAGCGTGAGAAGGAGAGGCAAAAAGCCACGCCTGCCTAACAATCCTGAGAGGTTCAGCAACGGGCCTTGTGTGTTGGGACGTGAGGGATTCACAGCAGGCAGACATTTCTGGGAAGTCACTGTGGGAAGTGAGGGAGAATGGGTTGTGGGGATCGCTAGGGAGTCTGTGAGGAGAAAGGACAACTTTGCCTTTTGTCCTGAGGGAGGGATCTGGGCTGTGGAGAAGTGGGGAGGGAAATACTTGGCTTGCACCTCCCCTGTTTCCCACCTCTCCCTGAGGGAGGAGCCCAGGAGGATCCGGGTGACTCTGGACTATGAAGGGGAACGTGTGTCTTTTTTTGACGCTGCCTCAGGAGCCGAACTCTACACATTCTCAGGGGCCTCGTTCTCCGGAGAGACCCTCCTCCCTTTCTTTTATCTGTGGGGAAATAAAACCCACCTCAGGATCTCCTGAAGAAACTAAATCTGCCTCACAGGCCCAGTTGAAGTTGGGGATGATAGGAGTTGAATTACAACAACATCTCGAGGGCCACAGGCTTCTCTCCCCTCTCTAACCAAAGTGAGATACCTGAACAAAGAAACGACCTTTCGTTCCCCACTGTATGTATGAATGGAAAACCTAATGAGAACTTATTTAATTGGTCCCCCCCCAAAAAAAATACTCACACACCAGCAGCATTTTATTTAATGATAACAACAAATTATTGAGCGCTTGCCCTTATCACTGAGGTACTTTTTTCAAATTTCTCACATCACCCCAAAGAAAAAGTCCACATCTTCCTAGTGCATAATTTAGAAATGAAGCCTTGAACCCAAGTAGCAACCCTGAAATGAAAAAGCAGCTACATTCGTGGGTGGGGGACACCATGGCTTTTGTTGAGATGCCTGCCCTGTTCATGATCTGAGCTCCAGCCTCCAAGGCTTTGCTATTTCTTTAAAAATAGAAAAAAAATAATCATTGTGTTTTTCTCTCTTCCCTCAACACCCTGCTTCACGAACCTTTCTAGAAAGGAGAGCATCCCTAGGATGTAATTCCTAGTGTGGGTTTTTTGTTTTTGGATGCTTGCCGAAAGGAATGCAGAAGAGGGAAATCTATTTTCATAGGTCTGACCTTGGAAACTTTAGCTTAGGCACCTAGTGCACTTTACCACTTCAGACTGCAGCAAGGAAAATCCATTTTTTGAAACGTTCCTTTATGTTAAAAAAGGCCCTGCACATAGAAACCTAGTACAATAGAGAGCAAGCTTGGCCAGAATCATTCTTCCTGATGTGCTAGATTTTTACTTGCATGGAGGGTTCTCGTCTAAAATAAATTAAAACAAAGAATCAAAAAGGACATGCCCTACCTTCAATTTGCCCAGGACGAGGGTAGCGCTGTGGTCTAAACCACTGAACCTCTTGGGCTTGCCAACTGTAAGGTTGGCAGTTTGAGTCTTTTCACTGAGGGCATCCTTCCCATCCATGATAACTTCAACCTGGACCAATTTTTGAAATCTTTCTTTCTTTTTCAGGATAATCTTTATTGGTTTTTCTGTTACATACTACACATCCACATATTGTATTACATTTTACATTTATACTTGCACCTAGGAGCTGACTTCCCTCCTTCCTTCTTGTGGCTTTTTTATATCGCCTCTAAATTTTTTGCATTGTCTTTATCTATTTTGTATATTGTTGTTCTTCTTCCACATTTGTCGATAAAGTGTCTGTAAACAAATAAATCCTTCTAGATATACAATTATTATTGTTGTCTGTCTGTATTCATTTACAACTACTATTAGTTACATTGGTCACATTATACGTTTTACTCCAGCCCACTCCAACAGACCCTTGAGCAGAGTAAGAGACTAGACATCCTGGCCAGGAGGACAGGGGAAGCCCCTTTTACACGGCTCTTCCTTCAAGGAGGTGTGTTTCCTTTAAACTGGGTGCGTTCCTCCACAATGACAGTATTTTATTTGTTTATCACAGTATTTATAGTACTGCCAGCATTAAGAAAAATTCTTGAGTCATTTCTAGGTAGGGAAACACCCAGTGACTGAAAACTGAGAAAGTGAAACTTAGCTCGGTTCTTTGGCCCAAGGGAGCCATGGCTGCTGCTGAGAGACCCGTAAAGGATCTCTGCGATGAATCCACTTGCTCCATCTGCCTGGAGTATTTCAAGGATCCAGTGACCATCCCAGAGTGTGGGCACAACTTCTGCCGAGGCTGCCTGATCCAGTGCTGGGGGGAATCGGAGGCAGAGGCTTCCTGCCCTCAGTGCAGAAGAGTTGTCCAGCAAAATAATCTCATCCCCAACCGGCAACTGGCTAACTTTGTGGAAATAACCAAGAGGTTCAGTCTCCAAAGCGGGGAGGAGGAACAAGGAAAGGGGAGAGTTTGTCAGAAGCACCAGGAGCCCCTGAAGCTTTTTTGTAAGGAGGAAGAAACCCCCATCTGCGTGGTGTGTGACAGGTCCAAGGAGCACAGACATCATGAGGTGATCCCTCTGGAGGAGGCTTCTCAAGAGTACAAGGTAGGAAATCACTCGGGATCTTGGTGGGGTAAAGAGCTGTGGGTTTTCTTGGGAGGTTTTCTGTAATTCTTAGGTTCAACTAGACGTGACATTAACACACCCTCCAAGTGTCCCTATTTTCTAGGGACAGTCCCGGATTTACAGAAGCCATCCCAGTATCTGATTTGATCCTGGAGTGTCCTTTTTTCCTTAGGACATCCCTATTTTCATTAGAAAATGGATTTTTCTGCTTTGTCCTGGATCTTAGGCAAGTGAGAAAGGAAAACGCTCAACAACCTTTTGGGTGTCCTGGTTTTTTAAATATGGCATTCCTACTGGAGGGTATGCAAAAATTTCCTGGAAGCTTGTTTAAATAGCCATTGAGACGCTTGGGGTCTCATGGGAGGTGGGTGGCACAAGTGTAATTCTTTTCTCTGTGTGCCAAAGGGGGCTTCACTTGAAATCCATATGAGGGTGCCAAAATACCAAAGATTACCAAAGTCCGTCCCTGATGCCATCCACTATTACAAAAGCTGCCCCAAGTCTTGTGAAGTTTTGCCTGACTGCCCCCACACTTGCAATGAAGACTCTTGAGGCAAAGTGATGGTAGAAAAAGGTTTATATTTTTTAACAAGTCAAAAATCTGCAAACCAAATTTAGAATTTGCAGGCAGGCCTAAAACTATGCACACATTTGTGGTTTAAAATGCAGTGACATCACTTCAAATCACATTTGCACTTTGCTAGGCTCAGCTGGTGGAACTAGGAACCAGAGTGGGACCTGACTGCCTGGGCGTAGCAGGCTAGAGCGGGGAGAAGCACACTTTTTAATGAGAACTCTCCTCTGTGTTATTATGAATAAAAACAAAATTCTGATTTTGTTTCAGGTGCATCTTTTTAAAAGGCCTTTTACTTTCTTTTTTTAAAAAAAACCACTACACTTGTTTTTCTACACTAGCGCAAATATGCTGTTTTTCAATGTAATAATAACAATTCAAAGTAAAAGTAACAATAATGAAATGAAACTTCACAAAAGAGCCTTCCTTTTAAAAATGTCCATTTAGAAACCTGAGGGATAACCCAGTTTTCGGGAGTGGGGGCACAGCTAAGCCTTAAGACTCTTAATTTCAGGGTCGTAGGCTCAAGCCCCATGTTGGGCAAAAGATTCCTGCTTTTCAGGGGATTGGACTAAATGATGATGATGATGATGATGATGATGATGATGATGATGATTTACACCCTGCCCATCTGGCTGGGTTTCCCCACACACTCTGGGTGGCTTAAAGGTAAAGGTAAAGGACCCCTGACGGTTAAGTCCAGTCGCGAACGACTCTGGGGTTGTGGCGCTCATCTCGCTTTATTGGCAGAGGGAGCCGGTGTTTGTCTGCAGACAGTTTTTCCGGGTCATGTGGCTAGCATGACTAAGCTGCTTCTGGCGAACCAGAGCAGCGCACAGAAACGCCATTTACCTTCCCGCCGGAGCGGTAACTATTTATCTACTTGCACCTTGATGTGATTTCGAACTGCTAGGTTGCGAGGAGCTAGGACCGAGCAACAGGAGATCACCCCATCACGGAGTTTGAACTGCTGACCTTCCAATCGATAAGCCCTAGGCTCAGTAGTTTAGACCACAGCGCCACCTACGTCCCTATATAAAAGCATAGTAAAACATCAAACTTTAAAAACTTCCCAATACAGGGCTGTCCTCAGAAGTCTTTTAAGTTATGTAGTTCTTTATCTCCTTGATGGGAGGGTGTTCCGCAGGGAGAGTGGAACCAGCAGAAGACCCTCGGAGGAGGACCTCAGTCTGGGCTGAATGATGGGGTTGGAGATGCTCTTTCAGGTGTACTGGGCTGAGGCCATTTAGGGCTTTAAAGGTCAGCACCAACACTGAATTGTGCTTGGAAACATGGGAGCCACTGAAGATCCTTTAGGATCTTACATGGTTTTGGCGGCCACTCCCAGTCATCAGTCTAGCTGGATTAGTTGTAGTTTTCGAGTCACCTTCAAAGGTAGCCCCAAGTAGTGTGCATTGCAGTAGTCTAAGCGGGAGATAACCAGGGTATGCACCACTCTGGCAAGACAGTGCACAGGCAGGTAGGGTCTCAGCTGGCGTACCACATGGAGCTGGTAGACAGCTGCCCTGGACACAGAATTGACCTGTGTCTCCATGGACAGCAGTGAGTCCAAAATTACTCCCAAGCTGTGCACCTGGCCCTTCAGGGGCACTGTTACCCCACACCCACCTGCCCCCTGTCCCCCCAAAACAGTACTTCTTAATCCTTGTGGTCTCTTCCAACTACAGTTCTATGATTCTATGAATCTCCCAGAGCAAGTGTCAGAAACTAAAATCTACCAGAGAGATTATCAGTTAAAAAGCTAAGAGCAGAGCCACTGGGCAATAGAATGGAGGATAGTGCTTGACTTCTCTTTCTCTCTCTTTCTCAGTCTTAGTCACAATCTGAGATTTTGTTTTCTCTTTAGGGAATAATCGGTAACTGCTTGGAGATTCTGAGGAAAGAGAGAGAAACAATTCTGGAATATGACGCATACCTGGAGAAGGAAAGCCAAGACCTCCTTGTAAGTGTCACTATTGTTAATAGGAAGGGAACAACTACTTGACGAATCAAGTAGGGGCTGAGGAGGGATGGGGAAATCTACTTTTGTTTCTCTCAGTTTCGTATATTTCTGTCTTAAATTCACTTCTCCACATCTCCCCTTTACTTATTATTTTTTTAAGTCCTCATGAAAATCCATCAGTATTTTAGTACCATGTTCTGCTAATATACATATTTTTACGTGAGGCTTTGCCCAGTATACACATATTTTGCAAAGCAGTATCCCCTAATTTCTTTTTCTATGCCATTACCTTAATAAATACATTTTCATGCACACTTTAACCTTAGTATCTGCATTTTTGTAGGCATTACCTGGCTGGAGAACTCAGAAAAAGTACATTTCAAAAGATTGCTGAGTTTCTCTGTGCATGGTTGTTGTAGTTTTTTTTTTTAGTTTTTTTTTTTTGGAAAGTGCTAATGAGGTAATTTTGCATGTGAAACCAAGCTGAACTGAATCTTTCCCCATGTGGCAGCCTACATCCACAGAACAGTTGCAACATCCTGATTTGCCATAAGGGTTCTTAAAGAAATGTCTCTAAATGTGCCCTATTTTAAATCTCTAGGCAACTCAAGCTGACTCAAGGCTTTAAAGTCAACAGAGGGATGCACAGGCTAGCTCTGTCCCCCTTCTCCTGTTTCTCTTGGCTTCCTACTCACAGAAGTGGCCCCTGTGGACTGCTTCTTGTCCATGGAGGATCTCTGAATATCTTAGAAACTGAATTTTGCCAGGTCCAAAATGTACCGGGAACCTCCACAAATAGAAAAAAGCTCATTGCTTTAGGCTGTCACCTTCCACAAGATGGAAGACAACAGAAATGACAACAGATAAGGCAGAGTCGGTGTGTTCATCCCTGCTCCCTCCCCACCATGTTTAATTTAAAGCCTGAAGAAGAGAGCTTCCTTAAGCACCGAGTGCTCGTCCACACTTCCACTTGTCCGAGCAGTTTTACCCTTTACCTGCTCCTTTGCCAGGGAAAACCCACTGTTTAGTTCTCAGTTGGAATGAACATCAATCCAGAGAAAACCCATATTGCTGTTTGCTCCAACTGAGTGCTAAGGAGCATTTTTCCCTGGGTGAAAACAGCAGAATAAGAAGAAGTGGGGCTAAGCCCTGAGTGTTGGTTTCATGCTTTTGAAAAATGGAAATGCCCCCTCTCTCATAACTCTCTGCCTGATGTTGTAAAGACTGGACATATTCCAGATTCCGGCCTCCTCTTTTCTTCTTTCTATCTGCTTCTTGCAGAAATTAACAGAAACTGAGAGGCAGAAGACAGTGGAGAAATTCAGACAACTGCGCCAAATTATGGAAAAACAAGAAAAATGTCTGCTGGATGAGATAGAAGAGATGGAGAAGGAGATTGCAATGAGATGGGATGAGCACCTGGCCACACTCTTTGGAAATATCTCCTCTCTTGAAAGTATCATCGAGGAAATGGAGGAGAAGCGCCAGAAGCCAGCGAGTGAACTCCTGCAGGTAGGATGGTGGCAGGAACAGCACAAGGCTGGAAAAGGGATCCTGCAAACTTTTATGTGCCTCAAGTGGTAGAGAGGCTGTTTACTGAGCCTCTAGCTAGGTCTGTTCTGTACAGGAGCATCTCAGAGAACAGGGATGGTTTATTTACTGGAGATTCTTGTTCAGTGCTAATTAATTAATTAATTTATTATATAATATTATATTATTTATTGAATTGATATCATAGCCTTCCTCCCCAAGACAGAGGCATAGGAACGTCAGGTGGTACCTGGTGCGGAAAATTTCTTGTCACCCCCCCATTGTCACCCCCCCACTGCTCCACTGAATTGAATTTTCAGCCTTCACGACATAGGAAAACGGCCAAGTAAACAGCTATTTTCGTGGAGGAGGGTCAAGATATTAACTGATTTGCATGAAATTTAATATATAGCTATATAATCCCTAGTGTAGTAAGATAACACCTTTGGAGCAAGCATTTTCAAAAAAAGTTTTTATGAACCAACCACCCTAGTAGGGCAGTAATTGTTTCTTGATAATTTGTCACCCCCCTCCATGATGGCACCTGGGGTGACCAGCCCCCGCTCCCTTCCTACGCCCCTGCCCCAAGGGGCCTCTGGCAGCAGATTACAATACAAAATCGAAAACAAAGCAAAAAACATTTTAAAAACCATTTCAATTAAAAGCATTGAGAACAACTGCAGTTAAAGGCATTATAAAAGCAATTACAATTTTAAAACAGACTTCCATCTCATGATGTCAAGGTTGCCAGGAGCAGTGTTCTTTAGCTACCAGATGTCTGGGTAAACAGGAATATAGTCACATTCCTCCTGTAAGTTTTCATGCTACAGGTCCCCGCCCCCCCATAGAATCGTAGAGTTGGAAGGGATCCCAAGGGTCATCTAGCCAACCCCCTGCAATGCAGAAATCACAACTAAACCATCCAAACTTCTGCTTAAAAACCTCCAATGAAGGAGAGTCCACCACTGTTAGAGGGAGTCCATTCCACTGTCAAACTGCTCTTACTGTCAGAAAGTTCTTCTTGATGTTTAGTCAGAATCTCCTTTCTTTTAACTTGAAGCTATTGGTTTGAGTTCTGCCCTCCTGAGCAGAGTAAAACAAGCTTGCTCTATCTTCCATGGCATAGCCCTTTAGATATTTGAAGATGGCTACCATATCTCCTCTCGGTCTCCTTGTTTTGTTTTTTTAAAAAAATGTTTCCAGAATCAAAATGGTAAGCAGTAACTGGCTAAGATTTGAGGTTGCTGTAGGGGTGAGTATTTATGACAATATCTCAGAAAGACTACACCATGTTGGCTTATGTGTCTACTGTACAATGAAAATTATACCGGAAAAGGGTGGGATGCCACCATTTTTTGGTGAACAAAATCAGATGAATGTTAAGAAGTTAAAACCCAAAACTAGCAATGGCAAAGAAATTCCATTGGCTTTGTACTTAAAGGTGAAACCACCAAATGGGTAAGAAATAGTTACAAAAATTCATACAGTATCATAAAATGAAAATAACGTAGGGAAAAAATTAAATTGCAGAAAATTGCTTTGCAAAATGTGTGTTTGAGGCAAAACCGCACATAAAAATATGTATATGTACTAAGAGAACTTAACACTGAAGTGCCAATAACTTTTCAGAAGGGACTTTTATAAATTTCAAACTGATGTGGAAATGTGAGGAGCTAAAGACTAGAAAATTAAATTCTGAGAGATAACAACATTGGCTGGTTGAACTATTCCTATCTAAAAATTGGTGTGTACTGGGCAGACTGACATCCAAGGGCCAGGGTCTGAGGGGGTATTCCTAGTGTGGCCTGTGGTGTGTAGTGAATTCCTTTCTCTTTTCCCCTCTAGGATGTGAGAAGCACCTTGCAGAGGTGAGTGGATCCTGCTCATTTCCATTAGCATCACTCTGTAAGGTTGGGAAAAGACCAGAAGGACACTACATAAAGCCTGGTCCTCCAAGCTCCTGATGGAGAGACTGTTGGACAAACTCCATCATTTCACTGGCACAGATAGGGGCCTCTCTTTTGAACTTGTAGTACCCCTATTCACAAGCAAAGGATCAGGCCCAAAACACTCCCTCCCCTCATCACACATGGCTGGAGGTTCTCCTCTGCCTGCCTGAAGTTCTGTTCATTGACTCTGGAAACATTTCAAACAAATGGAAACATTTCAAACAAAAAAAAGCCATAATAAAGGCAAGGCTGGATTTTCTACTGAGTGACGGAACAGAGAGGGCAGGCATGGCCCTACCAATGGGCAGAGTATGTCTGTCGCCTCAGGCAGCAAGTGCTGCAGTGGGTGGTTCCCATTTTCCTGAGACAGCACCTCAGCAGCAGGAGGGCTTCATTCTTATTGGCCTGGGCTACCTGTTCATCTCACATAGTCACCTTCTCCTCATCTGCAATGCGTCACAGCCAAGGACACTGGGAAAGGGCCCTGACTGAGGGAGCAGGCAGAGAAGCAGTCACCTCAGGCCCACACCCTTGACCGCACCAGGCATGGTGAGGGCCCATGCACTGCTCTGCTCCCATGACAGACCCTGACTACCACCGTCTCAGCATGGCAGCATCTGCTTGCGATGGCAGGAAGCCTTTTCTCATGAGGCCTTTTACACCTGCTATACTATATTTTGCTGAAGACTATTGTGGGGGAGATAGAACAAGGCTTGGAGACACACCAGGGGTCTTTGTGGGTGAGGGTCCTGGAGGATGACCCTCAGTTTCTTCTCTGTTATCCCTTGCACAGAACTCATTGGATAACTTGAATCGGTTGTACACCTGTGGAAGATCTGTCTCTTTCTCTGAGAGCATGTGGTTCTACAGCAGAGGTTATCTAAATTGTCCAAGCAGGATACCAGCAGATATTATGACACTTACTCAAGTGTTACTAAGGGAAAGTTGCAATAATTCCACACAACCAGTGCCTTAGTTGATCCCATCAAGAACTGCCAGTCAGCAGCAAATGCTAATGTACCACTCAGGTTCAGATTAGAAGTTACAGCAGCAACCATCTTGTTTTTCTCTACACCTTCTCTGGAGACATCTAGAGAAGGGAAATGTGTGTTGTGCTATCATTGCACTCAGGATAATTCGTGGCCCTCACCTGTGGAAGGCAATGAAGTGAAGTTGGAGGAGAGACATCTTGAGCATTACGATAGTACAGTGTTTCCCAACCGGTGTTCCGCGGCACACTAATGTGCCGCGAGACGTTGCCTGGTGTGCCGCGGGAAAAATTGGCGGGGGGGAATAAAGGGGAAAAAAATTATGCCCCCACCGCCAGGCGCGGGGCTGGGGCGGGGGAAGCCCGAGCTTCCCCCTCCCCAGAACGGGACCCAGAGCCATGCCGAAGCTGCGCGCAGCTTTGGCATCGCTCTGGGAGCTTGCAGGGCTGGGGGAGGAGGAAGCCCTCCGCCAGCCTCCAAACCATGTCGGGAGACAGCGGGATGGCGCGCTGCGCCTCTCCCGCTGTCCCCCGAGTTTGCGGGGCTGGCGACGGGGAGGCGCAAGCTTCTCCCCCCGCCAGCCTTCCAGCCAAGTCGGGGGGCAGCGGGAAGGGCGAGCTGCGCCTCTCCCGCTGTCCCCCGAGTTTGCGGGGCTGGCGACGGGGAGGCGCAAGCTTCTCCCCCCGCCAGCCTTCCAGCCAAGTCGGGGGGCAGCGGGAAGGGCGAGCTGCGCCTCTCCCGCTGTCCCCCGAGTTTGCGGGGCTGGCGACGGGGAGGCGCAAGCTTCTCCCCCCCGCCAGCCTTCCAGCCAAGTCGGGGGCAGCGGGAAGGGCGAGCTGCGCCTCTCCCGCTGTCCCCCGAGTTTGCGGGGCTGGCGACGGGGAGGCGCAAGCTTCTCCCCCCCGCCAGCCTTCCAGCCAAGTCGGGGGGCAGCGGGAAGGGCGAGCTGCGCCTCTCCCGCTGTCCCCCGAGTTTGCGGGGGCTGGCGACGGGGAGGCGCAGGCTTCTCCCCCCGCCAGCCTTCTAGCCAATTCGGGGGGCAGCGGGAAGGGCGAGCTGTGCCTCTCCCGTTGTCCCCCGAGTTTGCGGGGCTGGAGACGGGAGGAGCAGGCTTCTCCCCCCCGCCAGCCTTCCAGCCAAGTCGGGGGGCAGCGGGAAGGGCGAGCTGCGCCTCTCCCGCTGTCCCCCGAGTTTGCGGGGGCTGGCGACGGGGAGGCGCAGGCTTCTCCCCCCCGCCAGCCTTCCAGCCAAGTCGGGGGGCAGCGGGAAGGGCGAGCTGCGCCTCTCCCGCTGTCCCCCGAGTTTGCGGGGGCTGGCGACGGGGAGGCGCAGGCTTCTCCCCCCGCCAGCCTTCCAGCCAAGTCGGGGGCAGCGGGAAGGGCGAGCTGCGCCTCTCCCGCTGTCCCCCGAGTTTGCGGGGCTGGCGATGGGGAGGAGCAGGCTTCTCCCCCCCGCCAGCCTTCCAGCCAAGTCGGGGGCAGCGGGAAGGGCGAGCTGCGCCTCTCCCGCTGTCCCCCGAGTTTGCGGGGCTGGCGATGGGGAGGAGCAGGCTTCTCCCCCCCCCAGCCTTCCAGCCAAGTCGGGGGGCAGCAGGAAGGGCGAGCTGCGCCTCTCCCGTTGTCCCCCGAGTTTGCGGGGCTGGCGACGGGAGGAGCAGGCTTCTCCCCCCCGCCAGCCTTCCAGCCAAGTCGGGGGCAGCGGCAAGGGCGCGCTGCGTTTCTCCCCTGTCCCGGACGGCTTTCAAAAGCCTGCCTTCAAAAGCCGTCCGGGACAGCGGAGAAACGCGCTGCCTTTCTCCGCTCTCCCGGGAAGGCAGGCAGGGGGGAGCAAAGACTTTCGCCCCCGCCCACCTTCAGAAGAGGTCCAGGACCTCTTCTAAAGGCGGGCGGGGGGTGAAAATCTTTGTCCCCCCTGCCTGCCTTCCCAGGGGCTTTTAAATAGCCCCGGACAGCGGAGAAGTCCTCCGCTGTCCCGGGCGATTTTAAAATGCCGCCCGCCAGCATTTTAAGATTGCCCCGGACAGCGGAGAAGTCCTCCGCTGTCCCGGGGTTTTTTAAAATGCTGGGGGTGGGAAGAAAAGCCCTTGTCCCCCCCCCGCAAGGCAAGGGGGAGGGCAAAAAATTGAAACTTACACTTTCGTGCGTCCCTCCCGGCGTGACGCTGCGCGCTGACGTCACGGGGCTGTAATGGTGGTGTGCCTCGATATTTTTTTCATGAAACAAGTGTGCCTTTGCCCAAAAAAGGTTGGGAAACACTGCGATAGTACATTGTTATGTACTGAAGTTTTCACCCTGGGCCAGCAGGGGGATACTGTAGATAGTTTTCACTCCTGTCCACATATGCAAATAAGGGATTGAAAGTGACGTTCAGTGATTGGATAGTTACAGAAAATGGTTACTGTTGAGTTGTAGTGGAGCTCTATATAAGCAGGCTGGCTGAACCCTTCAGTTCAGTTCAGTTCAGTTCTGGCCTGTGAATAAACAAGAGCTGTTTGAAGAATCGCTGTGTCATCTGATATGTTCACCCACAACTTAACATACATAATGTTTCTTATTTGAATAGAAATAAGTGGGGAGACTCAGGGATCTGCAGTTGCCTTTCTGGTCCTCAGGTGTCTGGCTGTGAAGTCTATAGTGAGGGGAAATCTCTGCCTCTGTGCCTGCCTGTCTCTCTAGAGTCTAAACATTCTACCATTTTCTCTCTCCTCTTACTTTTAAAAATTTTGCTTTACTGTACTAGGAATTCTGGATTTGGGGGGTTAACATTCTTTTCCCCATCAGGTATGAGAGAAGAGAGAGACTGGCAAATGCACTTTCTTTCCCTCTAAAGCTAAAACGGAAGACCTGCAGATTCTGTGATACAAATCTCCTTCTGGAGGACATCGTGAAAGAATTCAAAGGTAATGAAGAATGGTGGCAAGGATTTTGTGCTGGGCATTCTATTAGTCCAACACAGAGCATGCCAGGCTCTTAGGCGTTGTATTTTGCTTTTGCTGTGGACATGGGGTGGCACGATCATAACTTCCCTCTTGGTGCTCCAGCCATCATTGTTTTTTCTCCAAAATGCCTCATATGTATTGGCACCCTGGGGCATGAGAAATTGTGTCCGCCACTTGTAAAGAAAGCCTGCACCAGGCTGTACAGTAAAGTCAGGATTTTTTCCTCCAGTGTGCATCTGTTTACAATTACCTTTGCATGAGATGACTGCCTTCCTCAGCAAGCTTAGCTTCTCATTATGTTTAACCATTCTGACTTTAGTTATTTCCCACACCGCTTTACTTGGGGCAGATGTTAAGGCTGGGTCCATCTCCCCCCTGCATCCTGTTCCATGATTGCTATTGCTTTGGCTACCCTCTGTGCCTCCATTATGGACTCGTTTCAGGGAGAACATTCAGATTCAATGCTGAATATTTTTATTCTGCTATTTTTAAGTCCCATTTACCAATGTGGAGTTTTAGTTTTCTTTAATCGGTTCATCTTACATTTTTAATAATTTGTTACACAACCTCATCTTTTACCTAAAATAAGGATACAACAGATGCCATGTTAATAAATAATATTATTCTAACAATCTTTATTTGAGGTACAGCAATCTTGTGCTTAAACATTTTATCTTTTATCTTCCTCAGATGCGATGTTCTTCAAACTACAGTTTCAGAAAGGTAAATTTTTGATGGAGACCCATATTCACAGGAGGGCTGGAGAATAGTTTTCAAACTGCTCTGGGGATGGGAGGAGGAGGTTATGTGTGTGGTGGTATTGGCACTAGTCAATAGGCACCCACCACAGCCAGGTTTCACTAGATACAGGGCGCACCTAGGTTTTTTTTGGGGGGGGAAATAAAGGGGGGGATTTTATTTCCCCCCCAGCCCCAAAGAGCAAAGCATCCCGCTGGCTGTCTTGGCTTCCTCTTTAACCACGCGCAACCTCTCCAGCCGGGAGAGGCTGCACGTGGCTTCGTTTTTAGCTGTGGGAGCTGGGGCGGGGGAAGCCCGAGCTTCCCCCGACCCCAGCCCCCAGAACAGGCAGCTATCCGCAAGCCTTCCGAGCACAGCGGGAGTTCCCACCGGGCTCCAAAGGCTTGCGGATAGCTGCCTGAAGCCCAGGGAGCACAGCGGGAGTTGGCACAGCTCTTGCCGGGCTGCAGGCTTCTATCTGCAAGCCTTTGGAGCGCTCCGAAGGCTTGCGGATAGCTGCCTGAAGCCTGGCGAGCGCAGCAGGAGTTGGCACAGCTCTTGCCGGGCTTCAGGCTTCTATCTGCAAGCCTTCAGAGCGCTCCGAAGGCTTGCGGATTGCTGCCTGAAGCCTGGAGAGCGAGAGGGGTCGGTGCGCACCGACTCCTCTCGCTCTCCAGGCTTCAGAGAAAGCCTGCATTTGCTCCATAGGGCGCACACACAGTTCCCCTTCATTTTTGTAGGGGGAAAAGTGCGTCCTATAGAGCGAAAAATACGGTAAGCTATAAACTGGCAGACCCAGTTTAGGCACAACTTGTGAATATACAAATGCAGGTGTGTATAAAAAGGAGAAAATAACTGATTTAAAAACCAACAAGGAAGGTATTCACTGCAGGGAAAGTCTGGAAGAAGGAGAGCAGTGTCCCAATCCTAAATGCAAGACAAGGAACCCCATTTATTTGAGAGGGAATCTGGTTCTTCTGGGTATTCCTTGGATTAGGATGTCCGTCTCTGACTCTCAGCTGATTCTACATCTTTCCCCCAACAGCAAATGTTACTCTGGATCCAGACACAGCCCATCCCAGCCTCATCCTGTCCAAGGATCGGAAAAATGTGACATTGGGAGGCAAAAAGCAAAAGCTTCCTGACAATCCTGAGAGATTCAATACCTTTCAATCTGTGTTGGGACATGAGGGATTCACAGAAGGCAGACATTTCTGGGAAGTCACTGTGGAAAGTGGTGATTGGTGGGATGTTGGGGTCGCCAGGAAGTATGTGAGACGAAGGAGTTGCTTCTCCTTAAGCCCTGAGGGAGGGTTCTGGGCTTTGGGGAATTGGGGAGGCGAGTACTGGACCCATACCTCCCTTGATTCTTCTCCTCTGTCCCTGAGTGAGAAGCCCAGGAAGATCCGAGTGACTCTGGACTATGAAGGGAGGGAGGTGTCTTTTTATGATGCTGACTCAGGAGCCGAACTCTACGTGTTCTCAGGAGTCTTGTTCTATGGTGAGACCCTCATCCCTTTCTTTCGTCTGAGGGGAAATAAAACCCACCTCAGGATCTCCTGAGGAGACTAAATCTCCCTCACAGGCCCAGTTGGAGTTTGTCTCCAGACTGGACTGACTGATATAAAAATAAGCATTTACCTCTCAAGAGTAGTTTTGGCAGCAGAAATAACAAAACTGACAAAAACCTCCATTTCCAGGATCCCCTCTGCAGCTGAAAGAGACAGAAACACTTTCAAGAGTCTCAATAAATAATCTTTTCCTCAAAAGGATAGCTTCCATCACCGTCAATCCTGGTTTAATTTTCTACCCTCTTTATCCCCACAAGAAATCCAGCAGCTGTTAAAATACAAACATTGATAGATGACTAGAAATTAACTCCTTTACCCACATCTGGAGAGAAAGCACCTTGTTGTTTAGACCTCAGGAGGAAGAAAACGTTAATAATGTGTGTGAGGCAATAACTTCCAGCCCCATCTGCAAATGCAGCCTCTCCATCTCCACACTTTATCAGAGATGAATCTCACTGAATTCAGTGGGGCTTTTGGACAATTCAATATGTTTAGGGTTGCTGCATTAATCTTTTCTATATAAATGTTGGATTCCGTATAGTGGGACAGCCAATGAAATGTCCTTTGGACGATGTCGAACTATAACTCCCATCCAACCAGGCCAACAAGTCAGAGATTATGGGAGTTGTAGTCCAGCAACTTTTGAAAGGCACCAGCTTGGCTCTGCCTGCCCTATATAATTCCCATTCAGATTTCCCTCTGATCCTAAACCCCATCCTGGTTATGGGGTGCTCCCCAAAAGAGGGTCCTTTCCCTACCAGGTGGATGTTACTTTTCTCACAGGCTTTTAATAGCTATCATTTAATGCAGTTTAATTCTTATAACTATTTTGTTTCTACTCTTGCTTGTTTTTAGTGCTGCCTTTATTGGTCATGATATTACGCTGCCTTTTAGGGTTCAGTGCCAGGGTTACACTAATTCTTTTGTGCCGATACAGATTTCCTGCTGATTTGCTTTTAACGAATTGCATTTGTATTTTAATTTGTGAACTGATCAGAGTATGTGGCTAGTTAGGAGGCATAGAAATGCCAAGAAATAAAGTAAAATAAAAGCTCTGTAACTCCTTCTCAGCCTGTCAAGGGCCTCCTTCTGGACTGCTGCTGTTTTGCAGGAATATTCTGCAAGATGCCATCGATGCAATAATACTGCATTAAAAAAAGGTAAAGGACCCCTGACAGAAGTCCAGTCACGAACGACTCTGGGGTTGCGGTGTTCATCTCGCTTTACTGGCCGAGGGAGCTGACGTTTGTCCACAGACAGTTTTTCCGGGTCATGTGGCCAGCATGACTAAGCCGCTTCTGGCGAAACCAGAGCAGCACACAGAAACACCATTTACCTTCCCGCCAGAGCATTACCTATTTATCTACTTGCACTTTGATGTGCTTTCAAACTGCTAGGTTGGCAGGAGCTGGGACAGAGCAACAGGAGCTCACCCCGTCACAGGGATATGAACCGCTGACCTTCCAATTGGCAAGCCCAAGAGGCTCAGTGGTTTACCACAGCGCCACCCACATCCCTAATACCGCATTAGTAGCAGATTTATAAGGGACCATTCTGCTTTGGGGGTTATTCTGCAATGCTTCCCCAATAATAATGAATTGTTGCCATCGTGGGGGGGGGGGCTCTCATATCCTATAATGGAACAAATATCGTACTGTCCATCTGGCTGTGTTTCTCCAGCACTCTGGGCAGCTCCCAACAGAATATTAAAAACACGATAAAACATCAAACATTAAAAACTTCTCTAAACAGGGCTGAGATTAGTGGGGCAGAGCACCAGTCTCCCTAACAGACTGGCCCCAGTGCAGTCTGCATGGATTTCCTGATGGAGCAAGAAGGGAAGAGCAGTGATGGGCACCAGCTCCCCGACAGTCAGTGTTCATATACAGTGGTACCTTGGTTGTTGAACTTAATCCGTTCTGGGAGTCCGTTCGACTCCTGGAACCGTTCGAAAACCAAGGCACAGCTTCTGAATCGCTGCAGGAGCTTCCTGCACTCAATCGGAAGCTGCACCAGACATCTGGCTTCCAAAGAATGTTCAAAAACCAGAACACTTTGGGGGTTTCAGTGTTCAAGAGCCAAAACCTATGAGTACCAAGGCGTTTGAGAAGCAAGGTACGACTATACTTTCAATGCTAAACAAAATGGGGGTTCTGTGGCTGGAGGTTTTCCTGCAGCCTGAGCATTGGGTAGGTTCTGTCCCCTTCTTCCACCACCTTTGCCATCCTTGCACAAGAACCCACCGTGAAGCTGGCCCTACTCTCAAGAGTGTTGCTCTCACTGGGTCTCTCCTAGCTGAGAACTGTCTTGCTTCTCTCCCAAGCTTGATTGGATGACAGAACCGTTTCTCACAATGGGAGCATTTGTAGATTGGCTCATCCTCATCTTTATTTGTATGCCACCTTTCCATAGCTGAAACCGTGCTCAAGGTGGCCTACAGCAGGAAAACATTTACATAATTACAAACTCAAAAACAGTAATCATAAACAATAGATTTGTTGTTGTTTAGTCATTTAGTTGTCTCCAACTCTTCGTGACCCCATGGACCAGAGCATGCCAAGTACTCCTGTCTTTAAAACAATAGATAAGACACATTAAAAAGCACAATCAAATTTGAACAGTTTTCACATAGATCATAATAAGACCTGAAAATAAAGATATAAAAGACTGATATCCATAACAGCAGCAAAAACCTTTCAGCACTTTGTTTGTGGTTCTTTCAGTTGGATGTGACTTTGTAAGACTTGACACAAGTCACAGTCTCCTGCTAGAGACAGACAGAATGAAATCATCAGGATAATGGAGGACTCTTCTTCCTGTGATGTTGAACCCTCCACATCTCTGCCCGTCCAGCATCCCAACAAGCACCTCTCTTACTTCCCTGCTGCAGGAATCATTCCTACAATCACAATTTCACAGTGAAGGAGGGAAATCTGCACATCACCTCCTATGTAGCCACTCGCTTTCATTATACCAAGACCAAAAATTGGATGCATTTTGTTCCCAGCTGACCAGCAGATGTCAGAGTTTTTCTTAAAACAAATGTCTGCCCATCCATCTGTATTACTTGAAGAGGAATGAGGCAAAGGTCACCATTATTGGGTGGGGGGGACAAGTTCATGGCATTATCAGAAAAGCCACATAAAGGTAAAGGTAAAGGTACCCCTGCCCGTACGGGCCAGTCTTGACAGACTCTAGGGTTGTGCGCCCATCTCACTTAAGAGGCCGGGGGCCAGCGCTGTCCGCAGACACTTCCGGGTCATGTGGCCAGCGTGACAAGCTGCATCTGGTGAGCCAGCGCAGCACACGGAAACGCCGTTTACCTTCCCGCCAGTAAGCGGTCCCTATTTATCTACTTGCACTTTGACGTGCTTTTGAACTGCTAGGTTGGCAGGCGCTGGGACCGAGCAACGGGAGCGCACCCCGCCGCGGGGATTCGAACCGCCAACCTTTTGATCGGCAAGCCCTAGGAGCTGAGGCTTTTACCCACAGCGCCACCCGCGCCCCGCGAAAAGCCACATGGGTTATCAGAAAAGCCACAGAAAAGCCACATGGGTGAGCTAATCTCTTTGCACACCTATGGTGTCTCCATAAAAGCTATAGGGCTATAATTCTAATCATTTATGACCACTAGTCATGATATCTTGAGCTGATAGGAGTTGCACTCTAGCAACACCTGTAGGGCACCATGTTGGCTGACCCTGGATTAATCCCTATCTGCTGTGACCATGTAAATAGGGACATTTTCATCTGAGGGATGTTGGAGGGAATGGAAGCAACTCCTATTTTCCTCTTCACATGCAGCATCCAAAAGGGGCAAATGGTGTTGGTGTTGGTGGTAGGAATAAGACAAGGACTCCTAAATTAAAATCCTCTCGTGGTCAGAGGAATTAATGGATTGGCAACTTATCTTGTTCTTTGTTGCTTCTTCTGAACAACTCTCTGCAATAGGTGTCAATAATCACAACTGTTAGGCTTGCATAACAATCTGCCTCTGGCGTTACAAGGGTTGAGAGATAAAAACTTTAGATTTATTGCTAGGTTCTTCTTGGAAGGGACTTTAATCACACGGATGTTCTACAAACAGCATTAATGATTCCTATAAATGCCAGGTGGTTTTCTTCAGCAGATGAAACTGAAATAGCTACTCTATTTACAGGATGAATAAACAGCTGATTACCCAATTGGCCGCAATACTTTTCCTTTCTTATATTTTTTGATAACTTCACATACCTCTCAAATAGTTATAGCAGGGGTCGGCAACGTGCGGCCCATGGGCCAGATGTGGCCCACGAGGGCCGTTTTACCGGCCCCCAAGCTGACCCTGAACCGAACTGCCCGCTCGGTGAGTCCCCCGCTCACTGCACTAAACCAGCGCAGCGTGGCACGGGGACTTGCCAAGCGGCGCCAGAAATCGCGTCTGCGCATGCACAGATACCGGAAATCAAGTCTGTGCATGTCCAGACGCCGGAAATCGCTTCTGCGAAGGCACAATTTTTGGAGTCTGGGCATGCGCAGAAACGATTTCCAGCGCCGCGGACATGCGCAGATGCAATTTCTGGCATCATGCTGCAGCAGTCCAGCCCACAAAATATCTCCGTGGCAGTGATCCAGCCCATGGCCGGTAAACCTTGCTGACCCCTGAGTTATAGGGCCATTCGTAATTTGTCTTTGATAAGAATCTGAAATGTTTGGTAGATGTCTTTGCAGATGATCTATTTTTTTCCAGAAGACAAATTGTCTTACTGTCTTCAGCCCCTCTCCCTCCAAGATGGCAATATCACCTTCAGTGACCTCGAGAAGGTCTGCAAAAAGCTCAATTTCACAAGCAGACTGAACATGGATGAGCTGTATGATGAGAACACTACTAAACAGCCAACAGCCTTTTGAAGCATCTTCAGAAGGATGATCAATGGAAGCTGCAAGGTGGGTGCCTGAATTTACAGCATCTGATCTACCAAATAAGCTGACAGTCATCTCCTACACTGTGAGCTTTCCAGCCTCAACAGGGTATGTGGAGAGCATCTTCTCCACAATGGAAAGCAAATGGACCAATGTCTGGAACCAGTGCTCTGTGAAACTGATAAAAAGTGAGCTCCTGATTTCACTCAACTGTCACCTGCTGACTTCCACTCAATTATTTTGAAGGACAAGCCACAAGGAGTGACAGAAAGTACTTGTGAGAAGGTTGAGTAGAGAGAGAGAAATATTGTTGGCTCAACACAGAGTGACTTGCTGAAGCTTTCAGCAGCAACAAAGATTATTATTATTATTATTAATTTCCTTTCAGTATTGTTGGAATGTTTGCAGTTACCAGTAGTTACCATCTGATTGGGATAGACACCATGTTAGCATAATTACAATGTTATCACATTACAAAGCCAAGCTATAATGTGATGTGCAATATTTTTCTTACACTTGTAAATTATAGTGCTTTTGTTATTTTTTTAATTGAAGAAAGTCTTGTAAACCATGTATGTCATTGTAATTGATTGCTTTGAACTCATTTCAGAACCGGGCAAAAAACAGTTTCAGTCCCCAATCCCACCCTCCATCCTGTCCTGTATTTTGCCAGAACAAAGGTGGTAACCCTGTGCCCAGATCAGGAGAACAGGGAAGCTCTTACTCCAGGGAGGAAGGTTTTCTTCAAGAAGGGTTGTTCCTCCACAATGTCAACATTTTATTTGTTTATAACAGTATTTGCACATTGATTTCTCAGGGCAGCGTTGAGGCAAACAAGAAAGGCGTGTCAGCATAAAATATATGCATTTCAGCACTGAGATCCTTAACCATTTACAGGATGAGAAACACCCAGGATATATAAACAAAGAAAGTGAAACTGACTGTGTCTTTGGTGTGAGGGAGCCATGGCTGCTTCTAGGGGTCCCGTAAACAAGAAAATCCGTCTCCAAAGCAGGGAGGGAGGAGGAATGGGGAGATATTGTGAGAAGCACCAGGAGTCCCTAAAACTCTTCTGTATGGAGGATGAAACTGTAGTCTGCCTGGTGTGTGACAAATCCAGGAAGCACAGAGATCATGAGGTGATTCCTGTGGATGAGGCTTCTGAGGACTACAAGGTAGGAAATCATTCTGGCCCTTGATGGGGAGCAGGGAAGTCTTCTTAATTCTTCTTGGGAGGTTTTCTGTAATTCTTAGGTTCAAACTAGGCATGGCATTAATTGCCAGAATGCAATTTAAATGCTTGTTGATTAAATAGCCAAGGAGAAGCCTGAGGTTTTTTTGGAGGTGGGTGGCATGAGTCTAATTCTCTCTCTCTCTGCCAGAATGCCAAAGGGGCTTCCCTTGAAATGCAAGCAGCAGGTTCAGTAACTGTTGGGACCATGACAGCGAAAGAAATTATTAAATCTTGGGGACCCGTGGTCTCCAAGCTATGTACATAATAAAAATGTTAATTTCACTTACACAATCTCCTGTCTAGTTTTTTATGATTTTCAATTTTATACATTTCAATAATTTTACAATCATTTTAACATTTCTATACTTGACTTCCCCCTTTTTCTGCGTTTCTTTAAATTTATTTTTAAATATTTTCTGTATATCCAAATTAACTTAATTTGCTCATTCATTCATTCATCTACTTTAAATATATACTCTTATAAAGCTGCAGGTTATTACAATAATCATGCCAATGCTCTTATCTGTTTACAGTTTATTTGTAAATATTCAATAAACCATTTCCATTCTGTAAAAAGTTTGTTATCTTGATTTCTTATTTTTCCAGTAAGTTATGCCATTTCTGCATGTCCCATAAGTTTTTGTATCCATTCCTTCTTTACTGGGACTTCTTCTTTCCTGTCTTGTTTGGGCTTAGGCTGTGTACAGACTCTTTTTTTTAAAATGATATTTATCAAAAGTTTAGAAATTACAGAAAAAAGAAAAAAGACAACAATAAGAAAGAAAGAAAAACACATAGAAAAGCAATACAACAATACAACAAAAAGAAACAAAGAAAAAACTAAAACACACATCCAATATTCCATATCTTTACCTTTCCTTTACTTGTTTCATCGACCTCCTCACACCTCCCTTTTTTTGTATTCTAGTTCAATTCACTATTTCAGCAAATTCTTCCCATCTTTCTCAATTTTTATTCTATAATTTATCTTAACGGTCTAACCTTAAATTTTTTCATTTTAACCTGTTATCAATCAGCTTTCACTTAATTCTTTGTTGCATTTCTACTAAAACCATATAGCTTCATTCCAGCATCCTTCTAACACTCATTAATTTTACAATGTTTCTGTAAGTATACTTTAAATTTTTTCCAATCTTCTTCCACCGACTCTTCTCCCTGGTCTCAGATTCTGCCAGTCATTTCTGCCAGTTCCGTGTAGTCCATCAGCTTCATCTGCCATTCTTCCCTGGTGGGTAGATCTTGTGTCTTCCAATGCCTTGCAATAAGTATTCTTGCTGCTGTTGTAGCGTACATAAAGAAAGTTCTATCCTTCTTTGGCACCAATTGGCCGACCATGCCCAGGAGAAAGGCCTCTGGTTTCTTCAGAAAGGTATATTTAAATACCTTTTTCATTTCATTATAGATCATCTCCCAGAATGCCCTAATCTTTGGGCATGTCCACCAAAGGTGAAAGAATGTACCTTCAGTTTCATTACATTTCCAACATTTGTTATCGGGCAGATGGTAGATTTTTGCAAGCTTGACTGGTGTTATGTACCACCTATAAATCATTTTCATTAAATTATCTTTTAAGGCATTACATGCCGTAAACTTCATACCAGTGGTCCATAACTGTTCCCAGTCGGCCATCATAATATTATGTCCAACATCTTGTGCCCATTTAATCATAGCAGATTTCACCATTTCATCTTGAGTATTCCATTTCAACAGCAAGTTATACATTCTTGACAAATTCCTAACTTTAGGGTCTAACAATTCTGTTTCCAACTTTGATTTTTCCACCTGGAAGCCTAGTTTTTTATCCAAGTTATATGCCTCCATTATTTGATAATAATGGAGCCACTCTCATACTCTGTTTTTTAATTTTTCAAAGCTCTGCAGTTTTTAATCTGTCACCCTCTTGTTCCAAAATTTCCCAATACTTCGGCCATTTGGCCTCCATATTGAGTTTTTTCTGAGCCTTTGCTTCCATTGGTGACAACCATCTTGGGGTTTTATTTTCTAACAAATCCTTATATCTTATCCAGACATTAAACAGTGCTTTTCTTACAATATGGTTTTTGAACGCTTTGTGTGCTTTAACCTTATCATACCACAAATATGCATGCCGGCTGTGTACAGACTCTTGTTTACTCAGCACCCAGTGTGCTTCCACCATTGGTTTGGGAAGCTGTGCACACATGACATTAGCCCCAACCCATTGGGACCATGACACAGAAATAATGGGTTAACGGTAACCATTGGGGACCTTCTCCCCACCCTTCAAGGCTGCTGTAATTGTTGGCCTCCAGGACAAAGTCATACTGCCAGAGAGCCACAGTGCCTCCTGTGGCTGCAGAAAGCTGTAACTCATAACTGCTGCCTGTTGTTTTTGCTGTGTTAGCAGCACTGAAGTGACCTCTCCAGAACACAAGTATGGGTCTTGTATGTGTGGAGGTCCTGGGCTGCCCAGATAACAAGACCCCACCCCTCGGCCTCATGGATGTGGTCCAAAGGAAGGCAGTACAATACTTTTGGCACCAGCTGGGCTGCAGGAATTGCTGTAAAGAGGGAGTAGAAGGTGCCATCTAATCGCCTTAAGGGACTCCTGTTATGTACTGAACTTCTCACCCTGGGCCAGCAGGGGGATACTGTAGATAGTTCAGGTCCACATATGCAAATAAGGGATTGAAAGTGACGTTCAGTGATTGGATAGTTACAGAAAATGGTTCCTGTTGCGTTCTAGTGGAGCTCTATATAAGCAGGCTGCCTGAACCCTTCAGTTCAGTTCTGTTCTGGCCTGTGAATAAACAAGAGCTGTTTGAAGAATCACTGTGTCGTCTAATATGTTCACCCACAACTTAACAACTCCGGATTTTATTTAGGGTTTACGCCTTAGCCTTTTCTTTTCCTGAATACATCCCGCAAGGTGGCGGGTACGGATTTTTGCTCAGGGTCTACCCCCAAAGGCTTTCTCACAAATGAGTAGAGCTGCAAAGCAGTGGAGGTTTAGGATCAGAGTTTTCCTTCTCCTGGATGGGCTATTTTCCCTGGTTGATAAGGAAGGCTGCTGTGTAAATAATAAAAATACTATACACATTAATTCCATGTAAACAACCTCATGTCTACTTTGGGCTTGGCTGTGTACAGACGCCTCCACTGCTGCTTTGGCAAGATATCCTGTATTTACCTTGTATCTATCATGCTGTGTTAAACATGTCACTGCAAGAGGGAGAGACAGTACGCTTCTGCCCTCCGTATTGTTAATCTTGGCCCCATACAGACCACACCCAGAAGTTTGGATAGTTTTTATGTGCCCAGTAGAGCAGCCATGATGGATCAAAGTGGATTACACTATGACATGTCAATAGAAGCTCCTTGGACTTTTGTTCACATTGCTCATAGAGACCTTGTCAATGTGATAAGAGCAGCCATGAAGCCAAAACAAAAATGAAAGGATTACATTTTTTACTAACTAGCACTGGAATTTACAAAGTTCCATTGGGTCGGGCACCAGTGACACATTTGGGATCAAAGCTGTTCATCACCCCACCCCGATATAGTCATTCAGAGTCTACATTTTATGTGGGTCCACCAAAAGAACAGTAAAATTAAAGGAAAACTCAATGAAAAGGTGCAGCCCCCAGATCCTGTTCAATCAATCAATCAATCAATCAATCAATCAATATTGCTATGAGTTTATGGGTGCCAGATTCCCCTAAATTCCTGGATTCTGATGTGTTAAGAACCTGGGGTGATGAGTCATTAAGAAAACAAAGGAAAGGTGATGGAGTTTTAAGAAAGCAAAAGAGAGGGGGCTCTGTGCCAGACAGCAAACATTTATCCCACATACTTGCAATGAAGGCTCATGAGGCAAAGTGGTGGTAGAAAAAGGGCTATATTTCTTAAGTGAAAAAATGTGCGAACCAAATTCACAACATACAGGTAGGCAAAAGGCTATGCACACATTTGTGGCGTAAAACACAGTGAAGTTGTTTTGAATCACACTTGCACATTTCTGGGCTCAGGTGGTAGAATTAGCAACCAGGGTCTGATCTGACTACAGGGTGTGTGTGGGTCCATCCCCCTCATACAATAAGGCAGCATGCAGTGGGAAAAACACACATGGTCTGGTTGTGGGGTGGGGGCTTGCACAATAAGGTGGCAGGGTGGTGGCCCAGGTGATCTCCCCCAGAGGCTAGCGTGGAGGTACACACTTTTAAAAGAGAACTAAGAACTGACTCTCCTCTCCTCTGTGCTATTATGATTAAAGCAAAATCCTGATTCAGCTTCCAGATAATTTTTTTTAATGTTTCTAAATCTCTTTTAAAAAACAAAAATTAGCACAAAGAAGCTCCTATGCAATTTAATAATAATGAAAAGTAAAATAAATAATAATGAAATGAAACTCTTCATTAAAGCCTTGATTTTAAAATTTTGAGCTAAAAGCCTAGAAATTCATAGAGCAGATTTCAAAAACTAGCAATTATCAGGCACTTAAGAGCAGCAACGCACCAGGAAGTAGAAGGGAGCATAACAGCCAAGCAAATTCTCCCTTTCTATGTCTGTCTCAATCACTATCTGAACTTTTATTTTCTCTTTAGGAAAAGATCAATAGCTACCTGGAGAACCTTAGGAAAGAAAGAAAGAAAATTCTGGCCTATGAAGCAGAACTGGAAAAGGAAAGCCAAGACCTCCTTGTAAGTGTCACTAGTGTTCACTGGAAGGGAACAAGTGCTTGATGAATCACATCAGGACTGAATAGAAATGGGGAAATCTGTCGATTTCTGTTCATCTCAGTTTCATACATTTCCATCTTAAAGTCATTTCTCCCAGTTTTGCCTTTGAATCCAAACTGAACTGAATCTTCTTCCCATGTGGCAGCTCAGATGCACTGAAGATAAGATAGTTGCAACATTCTGATTTGCTATACAGACTGTTGAAGAAATATCTCTCTAAATGTGCACTATTTTATATCTATAGGAAATTCAAGTTGATTCAGTGTATTAAAGTAAACAGAGGACTGTTGGGGATAAGCAGGCCAGCTCTGCCCTGCTTCTCTTTTTCTGTTGATTTCCTACTCATGGAAGTGTGAGGTGAGGACTCTTTTATGTCCATGGAGGCTTTCTGAACATCTTAGAAACTAAATTATGCTGGGTTCAAAAATGTACAGGCAACCTCCATGGATAGAAAAAAAATCTCCTGGCTTTAGGTTGCCACCTTCCACAAGATGGAAACAGAGCTCTTTTTTTGCAGCTGGAACTTGCCAGATCTCAGTTCCAGCACCTCTCAGGCAGGTGCCATTGCCGTTGTAATAGTAATAGTAATAACAGTAATAGTAATTAGAACAAGGGATGTATTCATGGTGAGTTCCGGCACCTCTTTTTCTAGAAAAATAACACTAGGTACGGAAGGCAGGAGAAATGGCAACAGAGAATGCAGAGCCACTGTGTTCATGCCTGCTGCCTCCCTGCCATGTTTACTTTAAATTCTGAAGAAGAGGGTCTTCCTTAGCCACTGAGGGCTTGTCCACACCTCCACTTGTTCTGAGCCTAGAAATCATGGGTCAAAGCAGTTTCCCTTTGCCCCGCTCCTTTCCCAGGGAAAACCCACTGTTTAGTTCTCAGTCAGAACCAATGTCTATCCAGAGAAAACCCAAATTTCCTGTGCAATTTCCACAACTCTCCTCCTGGTGTTGTAAAGACTGACCACACTCCAGACTCCGGTCTCCTCGTTTCCTCTTTCTATCTACTGCTTGCAGAAATGTACAGCAACTGAGATGCAGAAGGCAGAGGAGAAGTTCAGAGAACTGCACCAATTTCTGCTGAATCAGATCAAAGAGGTGGAGAAAGAGATTGCAGGGAGAAGGGATGAGCACCGGGCTAGACTCTCCAGGAAACTCTCCTCTCTTGAAAGGATCATCCAGGAGATGGAGGAAAAGAGTCAGCAGCCAGCAAGTGAACTCCTGCAGGTAAGATGGTGGCAGGAATAGCCCAAGGCTCCACTCCAGGAAGATGCTGCCTTGAAATCTGAAGTGCAAGTTGTGTGAGAAGGAAAATGATAAAAGGTTACTGGCTTATACAGATGCTTCAGGTTACAGACTCCACTAACCCAGAAATCGTACCTCGGGTTAAGAACTTTGCTTCAGGATGAGAACAGAAATCATGCTCTGGTGGCGCAGCAGCAGCGGGAGGCCCCATCAGCTAAAGTGGTGCTTCAGGTTAAGAACAGTTTCAGGTTAAGAACGGACCTCTGGAACGAATTATGTTCTTAACCCAAGGTACCACTGTACTTGGGCCTGTTAGGGGTGAGTATGTATGAAAATATCCTAGAAAAACTACCCAATAGTTCAACTTACGTGCACAATGACAAGTGCGCCGGGAAGGGATGGGATACCACAAAAAAAATTTGTGCAGCAAATTGGATGAAATTTAAGAAGTTATGGCCCAAAACTATCAATGGTGGGAAAATTCCTTAACTTTGCACTTAAAGGTGAATCCACCAAATGGGCACTTTATAAATCAATATGCAAACAGAATCACAGACATTTGTCAACATTTGCACTTCTCTGAAATTTCCAAACAGTTCTCCAATAATGCTTACAAAAAATTCATACAAGCTCACAAAGTGAAACTAAAATAAAAAATCATTATATTACAGAAAATTGCTTTGCAAAATGTGTGTTTCAGGCAAAATTGGATATAAAAATATCTATATTAGGAGAAAGCCACACTAAAAGGCTGGTGAATTTTCAGAAGGACTTTAAAAAAATTGCAGACTGATGTGGAAATGTGGAGAGCTGAAGAGGGGAAAATAAAAAACCTGAAAGATTCCAAAATTGCCTGGCTAGGCCCTCCCTACCAATAATATTTGTGCGTGTTGGGCAAACTGACACCAGACAGCCAGAGTCCCTCCATTTCAGGGTCTGAAGGGGCTTCTTACTGTGGCCTGTGTTGTGCATTGAATTCCATTCTCTTTTCCCCTCTAGGATGTGGGAAGCACCTTGCAGAGGTGAGTGGATCCAGCTTATTTCCATTAGCATCAGTACTTAAAACCTGGCCCTCCAAGCTCCTGATGGAAAGACTTTAGGACTCCACATTCTGTAATTTCACCCACAAAGATTGGGACCTTCCTTTTGAACTTGTGGCACCCCTATCCTCCTTCCAAGGATGATTTTACTTTTGTTCCTTTTCCTTTACTAGGAATTAGTGATTTGAAAGGTTAACATTTTCCCTCCTCAGGTGTGAGAGAACAGAGAGATTGGAGAATCAACTGGCTTTTCCTCCAGAGCTGAAGGAGGAGGCCTCCAGATTCTGTGATATGAATCTCCGTCTGGAGGAAGTCCTGAAGGAATTCAAAGGTAATGACGAAAGGCTGCAAGGATTTTATGCTGGGCATTACATTAGTCTAACACAGAACATGTTAGGCTCTTACTGTATTTTGCTCTTGCTGCAGACAGGAGTGGCACCATCATACCTCCACCCCCCCCCCGGCGGTCCAGCCGTCAACTAATTCCCCCCAGAATGTCCCATGTACATTGGCACGCTGCAGCATTAGAAATGGTGGCTGCCACAAATAAAGAAAGTCTACACCAGACTCTATCGTAAAGTCTGGGTTTTTCCTCCAATTTTATTCAGGGGGGGTATTGTTTTGCTGTTTTGTTTTACTTATTTTCATGTTTTTATCCTGTATCTTACTCTGTGTACCACCCTGAGATCTTATGAAGAGCAATATATAAATCTAAGAAATAAATAATAAAATAATGTGCATCTGTTTACAATTCCCTTTGCATGAGAGCTCTGGAATCCTTCTTCAGCAAGCTTAGTTTCTCATTTTGTTTAACCATTCTGGCTTTAATTATTTTCCCCACCACTTTATTTGGTGCAGATGTTAAGGTTGCATCTATCCGATTTAATGTTGAATATTTTTATTCTGCTTTTTAAAAGTCTTGTTTACCATTGCTGAGTTTTACAGTTTTCTTTAACTGGTTTCCCCCCCTAAGTTCTTAATCATTTGTTCTACTGATTAATCTTTTACTTGAAATAAAGATAGAACAGGTGCTGTGTTACTAAGTGATATTTTTCTAACAAAATTAATTTCAGGTAGAGCAGCGTAGTGCTTAAACTTATTATCTTTTTTCTTTCTCAGATGCTATGATATTCAGACAACAGTTTCAGAAAGGTAAATTTCCAATGGTGACCCAAATTCACAGGAGGGATGGGGACTGGCATTTAATTGGGGATGTACAATCTTTTCTGAAGACTTTGGAACCCTTAATACAGTGGTACCTCGGGTTACATACGCTTCAGGTTACAGACTCCACTAACCCAGAAATAGTGCTTCAGGTTAAGAACTTTGCTTCAGGATGAGAACAGAAGTCGAGCTCCAGCGGCCCCATTAGCTAAAGTGGTGCTTCAGGTTAAGAACAGTTTCAGGTTAAGCATGGACCTCCGGAACGAATTAAGTACTTAACCTGAGGTACCACTGTAAGTTATTAGCCCTAAAATGGCATTTATGTTCTTCATATGTATTGTCAAATCCCCGTTATTTCAGGCGTCGTGTTCCAGGTTAAAATACACATAAACCTGCCCCATTACATGTCAGTTTCTGTCTCTCAGCTGATTTTGCCGCTCTTTTCTTCATCTTCCCCCAATAGCAAATGTCACTCTGGATCCAGACACAGCCCATTCCTGCCTCATCCTATCCAAGGATGGGAAAAGCGTGAGATTGGCAGACAGAAAGCGAGTTGTGCCCAATAATCCTGAGAGATTCAACAACTGGCCTTCTGTGTTGGGACGTGAGGAATTCACAGCAGACAGACTTTTCTGGGAGGTCACTGTGGGAAGTGAGGGAGAATGGGCTGTGGGGGTCGCCAGGAAGTCTATAGGGAGAAAGGGCCGCTTTCCCTTCAGTCCTGAGGGAGGGCTCTGGGCTCTGGAAAAGATGGGAAATGGGTACTGGGCCTGGAACCCGCCTTATAACACTCCTCTGTCCCTGAGGGAGAAGCCCAGGAGGATCCGGGTGACTCTGGACTATGAAGGGGGACGTGTGTCTTTTTCTGATGCTGACTCAGGAGCCGAACTCTACACGTTCTCAGGGGCCTCATTCTCTGGAGAGACCCTCCTCCCTTTCTTTCGCCTGTGGGGAAATGAAACCCACCTCAGGATCTCCTGAGGAGACTAAATCTGCCTCTCAGGCCCAGCAGGAGTTTCTCTCCAGAAAAGAAGGGCTAAGATAAAACCCAACATTTACCTCAGTTGCACTTTGGGCAGCTTTTTAGGGGCCGTGTGAGAAGATTACTCTACAATCAGCAGAAATAACAAAACAGACAAAAATGGTTGCCTTTTCCTGCTTTTTATTTCCCTTTCCCAGAATTCTCTCTGCAGATTATTTCTTAAACAGACGGTAACACTTTTAACAGGGACGCGGGTGGCGCTGTGGGTAAAAGCCTCAGCGCCTAGGGCTTGCCGATCGAAAGGTCGGCGGTTCGAATCCCCGCAGCGGGGTGCGCTCCTGTTGTTCGGTCCCAGCGCCTGCCAACCTAGCAGTTCAAAGGCACCCCCGGGTGCAAGTAGATAAATAGGGACCGCTTACTAGCGGGAAGGTAAACGGTGTTTCCGTGTGCTGCGCTGGCTTGCCAGATGCAGCTTGTCACACTGGCCACGTGACCCGGAAGTGTCTGCGGACAGCGCTGGCCCCCGGCCTCTTGAGTGAGATGGGCGCACAACCCTAGAGTCTGTCAAGACTGGCCCGTACGGGCAGGGGTACCTTTACCTTTACCTTTTAACACTTTTAACACTCCCAATATATAATGAGTTCCTCAAAAGGGCTCAGCCTCCATCATCTGGTTTCATTTTGCCACCTTCCTTTCCCCACAAGACCCCCAGCAGCTGTTAAAATACAAACATTCATGGATTACTAGAAATTAACCCCTTTACCCACCTCAGGAGGGAAAGCTCCTTGCTGTGTAGACCTAAGACCGGAAGAAAACAGAAATAATGTCTGTGTGGCACCAACTTCAAGCCTCACCATGTCCCCTGTTTCTCAGAGATTAATAAAATACAATAATCTTTATTGTCATTGTCCCATACAGAACAACAAAATTGAATCTCGCTGGATTCAGTGGGGCTTCTGGACAATTAAATGTATTTACAGTTGCTGCATTAATCTTCTATAAGTGTTGGATTCTGTATATCAGAGGCAGCCAACACAATGTCATCTGGATGGTGTTGGGCTCCCATCTGTGAGAGTTGGAACTTAACTGGTTAAGTTGTTCCCATGATGCCTCACCATTCTGACGTCACTATTGGAAGCTCGGGAGGAGCTTGAGGCAAAGTTTGCCAGTCCCACTATGTGAGCTGTGGGGAAAAGGACGTAGTGCTGTGATGGCTGCAACTAGTCCTGGAAATTCCTGAGAAATGTTGGAAATAAAAGCTGTATAGAGACAAACGGGACTCTGTGTGTTTGTCTGAAAGCTGAATCAAGTTGGTGACAGTTTTACATCGCTGTGCGAAGCTCTGCTGAACCGTGACGGAGAAGTGGCGCAGTGGAAGCGTGCCGGGCAGCAATAAATCGCTAATTGAGGTCCGTAGATCAATTAGCGGGGGTCACGGCTAACAAAACAGCACAGGTTATGGGCCCAGAAATAACCGCTTGTAAAACTGTCGCGGGAGCTGTGAATCTGCGGTGTCGAGCAGAGGCGGCAGAAGGTGCAGACGGAAGCAAACAAGCAAGCTGCGAGACGCAGAGAACTGCCTGTGTTGCTGAGAACTGCAAAGAGCTGCAGAGACGGCAGGAGGAAGCAGCTGGGAGCTGAAAAGCAGCTGAGAAATCGTTTCTCCACGGAAGGGACAGCCAGAGAAGCTTGTGAGTACAGCTTGGGGCCCCTTGGGAGAACGGGAGAAGATGGCTGAGAGCCAGGATATACCGGTGGAAAAGCTCACTCTAAAGAGTTGGGCAACGTGGTCCAGGAGAATAAGGGGATGGTTCTTGGTTGAAGGGCTCTGGGAAGCAAACCAGTGGGAGCCAAAAGAAACACCCCTTAGCCAGCCAGCAGCTGGAGCAGGTGAAGCAAGCTGTGGGGCTGTGTTGGCTGAAAATAGCCAGAGGCTGCAACAAGAGCTGAATATGCTCAAAGCATGCGTTGATGCGTCACTGGGGCCTCAGTTGGAGGGCGTAACGACAGCGTGGGCTGCCTGGAATTTGCTGAAAGGCTTGTGTGAGGCGTCAGCGAAAGGCCAGAGCCCTGGAGGAAGCCCTGGAGAGGCAGAAGGTTGCCCAGAAAGCCCAATGGGGGCTGGGACAGTGTTGGAAAGCTGTTGTAATGCTTCTACACGTCTGTGTGATGGACTGAGTCCTGGAAAGGCTGGACTGGCAGGCCCTGTTCCCGATGTATTGGCCTCTAGGAGTGCTAGTGAGCATGTCGGGGGGGGCGGAAAGTTCCAAAGGCAAGTTTGAAAAGTTTTCCACTGAACCTCCTGGAGCGGAGAGCGGCTTCAGGGGGGGCGAGGCTGGTGGGAGGCGCCGTTCCAGATGGAGGAAGGCCAAACCAGCTGGGAGCCCCAGGCAGTGTTTTTCCACTGGAGTTCGTCATTGCCAGGCTTCAAGGCCAGCCATCTGCTGCAGCGGAAGATACGTGCTGCAGAGTTGTCTGGGAACTCTGAGATAAGTCCAGTCTTCAGAGCAACGCAGGATGTTGCGGTTTTCGGACGCTGCCAAGGACAGAGGGGGCAGCGGGACGTTTGTTGCTTCTATGGCAACTGTGAAGAGCAACTCCAGCCAGGACACGGTGACACGCTGGGTGTTTTGGTTTCTGCTATCAGGCAGCACCTGATAGGCAAGCTGCGGAACTGCAGGGCTGTTTTCAACAGGAACAATTGTTTTATTGGCACAACGTGTTTTTCTCTACTTCACAGGAGAAGCGAGAGATCAACGTTGTGCCGGGACTGAAGTGTTGTCTTTTATCTGTATCAGCTCTAATGAAGCAGGGATACAATGCTTGTTCTGAGAATGACACCTGTTCCATTTTCAGAGGGGGGAGACAACGGGTCAACATGCAGAGGGAGAACAACGTCTTTGTTCTGGAGTCACCTATGGAGGGTGGTGGGAATGCTGGAAAAGCACAGGTGCAGTGTGCTAAGGTTCCCAAAGATGTGCAAAAGTTGCACAGGTGCACAAAAGGGTACAAGCTCCGGAAATGTGAGAGGAGGTCCCAAGGGTGCAGGGCATGCAAAGGTGCAAAGGTGCTTGGTTTTCCCGGGTTTGGGAGGGTTACCAAAGAGCCCTTTGAGCTGGTTTACACAGATCTGTCAGGACCCATGAGGTCTGAGAGTCTGGGTGGGGCCAGGTATGTGCTGTCGCTGACAGGTAACCACAGCCAGGTTGGCTGGAGTTTCTCTCTCAAATCACAGGGGGAGGTGACGCAACTGTTCCAGGATTGGGTTGCGGAGGTGGAACGAAGGTTCTCCACCAGGGTGCAAGGGGTCAAGAGCGACCGAGGGTCACAGTTTACTGGGTCTGCTCTGGAGAAATCTTTCAAGGAAAAGGAAATACGTCACCAGGTGACGGGTGCAAAGTCTTCTCAAGGGAGAAGGGAGGCTGTGGCTGAACCCAGTGATGGGGATAAGGTCCAGAATCAGGGTTCAGATCCCGGTGATGGGGACCAGATCCAGGGTCAGGGTTCAGGGCAGGTTTGGGCATCTCCAAGGGTTGTGAAAGGAGTGTCCAGGTGTGAGGCTTCATCTCCGGTAATGGAGAAAGCTCACGGAAAGGTTGTCAAGTCAGAGGGGGAAGAGTCTGACGGAGAAGACACAACCGCTGGCCCTAATGGGTCAGTAGGGTATCAGGTCACAGGTGCGTGGAAAAGTGTCGCACAGTGTGATTCTGGGAGTGTTGAAGGGGTTCAACAGGTGCCTGGGAAAGATGCCGGGAGGGGCACAAGGCAAAGGAGAAGGTGTTGAACTCAGAGGGTCTTGTCAGAATGGGATGCAAGAGGGGGTGTGAGAGTTGGAACTTAACTGGTTAAGTTGTTCCCATGATGCCTCACCATTCTGACGTCACTATTGGAAGCTCGGGAGGAGCTTGAGGCAAAGTTTGCCAGTCCCACTATGTGAGCTGTGGGGAAAAGGACGTAGTGCTGTGATGGCTGCAACTAGTCCTGGAAATTCCTGAGAAATGTTGGAAATAAAAGCTGTATAGAGACAAACGGGACTCTGTGTGTTTGTCTGAAAGCTGAATCAAGTTGGTGACAGTTTTACATCGCTGTGCGAAGCTCTGCTGAACCGTGACGGAGAAGTGGCGCAGTGGAAGCGTGCCGGGCAGCAATAAATCGCTAATTGAGGTCCGTAGATCAATTAGCGGGGGTCACGGCTAACAAAACAGCACACCATCAGCCCCATCCAGCAAAGCCAACTAGTCAGAGATGGTGGGAGTTGTAGTCCAGCGACTTTTGGAAGGAACCAGCTTGGCTGTTTGCCCTATATAATTCCCACTGAGCTTTCCCTCTGATCCCCAGCCCCGCCCTGGTTATGGGATGTTCCCCCAAAGAAGGCCTTTTCACTACCAGATAGATCTTAGTTTTCTCCAAGGCTATCATTTAATGCTGTTTAATTCTTAGAACTATTTTGTTTCCACTGTTGCCAGTTTTTAGTGCTGCATTTATGGTTCAAGATCTTATGCTGATTTTTATGCTGATTGCTTTTAATGAATTGCATTTGTTCTTTAATCTGTGAACTGACCAGAGTATGTGGTTAATTAGGAGGTATAGGAATGAAGTGAAATAAAAATAAAGTGAAATAAAAGCTCCAAAACTCCCTCCCAGGCTGTCAAGGGCCTCCCTCGATTGCTGCTGTTTTGCAGGAATATTCAGCAAGACGTCATTGACGCAATAATAGTGCATTAGTGCTGTATTTATATGGGACAATCCACATATCATTCTGCTTTAGGGGTTATTCTACGATCCTTCCCCAGTGCTAATGGTTCATTGCCACATAAAGGGGCTCCCATGTCTTTTCTGTGAACCGCCCTGATACCTCTGGGTATAGGGCGGTATATAAATTCAAATAATAATAATTAATATTAATAATGGAACAAAAGCCGGCACCCCGCTCCAATATTCCTGACATAGAAAGCTCTGCAACTTCTGCCCTGGACTGATAATAAATGAAGCAATTATGAGTGTTGCACCAACCACCAGATCCCCTCTTGTGCCGCTAGACCTCTGGGCCAGAGAGCCCTAGTAAAGAAAGCCACATAGAGCCGGAAGCCGAACTGTTGCCTTCAGTCAGGCACACGACTGAGAAAGGAACTAGATTTGAGGATGGCAGGATGTGGGGAGCAGGGCTTGAATAGAAATAGTGTCAGGACTTAATACCCTAACTTAACCTCTGGTTTGACAGTCAAAGTAAAGAAAGCAGGCTATGTACTGGTTGTAGGTGAAAGGCTACAATTGGATCACATCTCTCACTATCTCTGACCACTGGGGGGTGATGGAGTCCAGCAATGTCTGTAATGCCACCGATTTCCCATCCCTGACCTAACAGGACAAAAGAAAGGAAAGTGGGGGTTGTTTGTCTGGAACTCACTCATACACTCCATACTCCAAAACACCGCTTGAGGTTGGGGCGAAATGGGAGTTTTATGTCTTGGAAAGAAGGGCTTTAGGGCTCATTTTTAAGTCAGACTTGCAGTTCCTCACAGGCTGCTCCTCATTTCTGAGGAGGAACAGATGGTCCCAAGGACAATGTTGGGATGAGGGCAAAATAGGCCAACAGCCCTGACAGTGGATGGTCCAGTCCTGCGTGTGTGGATGACAAGAACCATGTGGATGGTACACATCTTGAAACACTGAGTGAGAGAAGAAGAAAAAGCCAAGAAATCGCAAGCATGCATTATATACAAAATTTATTACTCATTCACACTCCCAGCTAATTTCACCCATCAGCTCTTAAGTAAGTTTTTTTTAAATAAATGAATTTTATTAGTATTTTCCACACAACACGAAAGATATCAAAAAATAACAATACACAACACACAAAAATCAACATTTGAAAACAAAAAACAAACAAAACAAACAAATCCATACCTTACAAGTTAATATTATAAACACTAAAACAACAACAATACATTGACTTTCCACCATTCCCACAGGACCTCCTTTATCTCTCATTCTGTCTTCCTGTTTTCTTTATCCTCTCTATCCTAACATCTAGATATAAATCCTTCTTTCATATCCTTTCACTTCACAAGGTTATTCCAGACTCAGCCAGGTTTCTGCCCTCGAACCTTGACTTTTGAGGTATTCATTTAGGCACTTCCATTCTTCACTTTTTGGTTTTTGTCTTCTTATATCTGTCAATTTGGCTAATTCTAGGTATTCTGAGAGCTTACATAGCCACTCTCCCCTGGTGGGTAACTGATTCCCTTTCCAGTACTTAGCCACCAGGATTCTTGCTGCAGACGTTGCGTATAAGAAAAAAATAGTTTTGTCTTTTGGAATATCGTCATTTAAAATTCCTAAAAGGAATGCCTCTGGCCTTTTACTTTATGATATTCTTAATATTTTCTTCATTTCTTTGTGGATCATGCTCCAAAATTTCCCAATTTCGGGGCATGTCCACCACATATGGTAGAAGGTTCCTTTTTGTATCTTGCATCTCCAGCACTTATTATTATTATATGTTTTATTCATTTTTGCAAGCCTTTCTGGTGCCAGGTACCACCTGTGATACATTTTCATATAGTTCTCTCTTATTAGGTAACATGCTGTAAAATTTATATTTTTTGTCTATGGTCTTCCCCATTCATTATATTCAATTGAGTGGCCCAGATCTTGTTCCCATTTTTTAATAGCGTCTCCTTTTTCCTCCTTTTCTACTTTCCCATTTTGTAACAGTTTATATATTTTTGAAAGAGTCTGTTGGTTGTTATATAAAATTTCTTTTTCCCATACCGAGATTTTTTTATCAAACCCCTTAAGCTTACTATCCTTCTCAAATATTGTTTTTAATAGGAAATATTCTAACCAATTCACCCCCTCTCTTTTAATTCTTCAAATTTCTTTACTGTTGGGCAATCTTTTATCTCTTCTACGAGTTCCCTATATTTTAGCCAGCTATCTTTCATATTGCTTCTATGCAAGGCTGATGACTCTATAGGTGATAGCCACCAGGGAGTTTTGGCTGTTACTATTGTTTTATTTTTTCCCCAGACTTCGAATAGGGCCTTTCTCACCAAATGATTAGTGAATCCTCTATGTGCTTTTATTTTATCGTGACCCAGGTAGCCATGCCACCTGAAAACTTTATACTGTACAGTCGTACCTCTGCTTACGTATCCTTCTGGATACATAAACTTTGGGATGCGAACGGAGCAAACCCCAAAGTATTTTTCCGGGTTCCGCTGCGTACGCATGCGCAAAAGCACTCTACATGCCGTGCGCATGCACAGAAGCAATCCTCTGGTTGCAAATTCCTTGGGATGCGGCCAGACCCTTGGAACACATCCCATTCATGACCGGAGGTACCACTGTACAGGTTTTTTATGCAGCATATTCAAAATTATTTTTTTTTAAGTACAGGAAGAAGCACTTGTACTCCCCCTTCTTGGAAAATAATGGAGATCTTGCTAAAGGAGGGATACAGAACCTGTGGTTCTCCAGATGCTGCTGAACTACAACTCCCATCATCCCTGACCATTAGCCATCGTGGCTGGGGGTGATGGGAGTTGAAGTCCAGCAACATCTTGAGGCACCACAGACTTCTCTCTCCTGCCTAACCAAAGGGCTACACACAATGGGATACCCAAACGAAGAAATGAGCTTTCTTTCCCTGCCATATGTATTAATAGGATAATCTAATGAAAACTTAATTAATGGAGAGGAGTTTTTCAAATGCTCATACAGTGGTACCTTGGAAGTCGAATGGAATACATTCCGGAAGTCCGTTCGACTTCCAAAATGTTCGGGAACCAAGGCGCGGCTTCTGATTGGCTGCAGGCGGAATCTGCGGAAGCCGCATTGGACGTTCAGGTTCCAAAGAACGTTCGAAAACCGGAACAATCACTTCCAGTTTTCAATCATTGGGAGCCAAAACGTTCGACTCCCAAGGCGTTTGAAAACCAAGGTATGACTGTACATTGGCAGCACTGTTTGAAATGAGAACAAATTCTTGAGCATCTACCCTTATGAAAGAGCTGTTTTCTTTTCAAATTTCACACATCACCCCAAAAACAAAAGCCCACGTGGCACTATCTTCCTAGTGAGGAGTTTATAAAGGTGGAAAAGCCTTGAGCCAAGTAACAACCCTTACGGAAAACTGCACCAGATTCTCTGGGGAACTAGTGTGCTAGAGGAGTCTTGGGAGGCCTATCCACATTCACACTGTCTCATAAGAGCAGCAGGGGTACGGAATGTGTGGCCCCTCCAACTCCCATTAGCCCCAGCCAGCCAGGATAGCTAATGGTCAAGGACGATAGGAGCTGGTCGTCTGACTGTATCTAGAAGGCAAAGAGGTTCCCAATCCCTGCTCCAATACTTCTGGTAGAAGCTATGATTGTGCCTGCCTCTAGTCTCCAAGATCTTGCTACTTCTTTAAAAATGAAATAATAATAGTAGTGTTTTCCTCCCTTCGCTCAACACCCTGCACTCCCTGAAGCCTTCTAGAAAGGAGAGCATCCCTACAATATTATTCCAAGTGTGGCTTTTTGGATGCGAACCAAAAGTGGTGCAGAAGAGGGAAATCCATTTTCACAGGCCTGAACTCTGAAACTTTAGTTTGGGTACCTGGCCTTATATATAGGCAACTCCCCATTTGCGTGTGATCGGCACATGTGTGACCACTGACATACATGCAGTTTTCAGCACCGAAAAGGGGATGGAATGGGGGCAGAGCAGACTTACACACATCCCACTGATGCACATGGGGACCAGGAACACAACTCCCACACAAACGGAGAGTTGCTTGTATACAATCATATTGAAGGAATGGGTTTCCCAAACCCAAAACTGACTGTGAAGGCAGTTTGAAACTGCACCAAAATCCCTATTTTTCCTTAGCTAAAATCCATTAACTTGAGCTCTGAGTCAATGTATAAACAGAAACCCGGCCGTGCTCAGAGCCCTCTCCTTTATCAGCTTGTGACGGCAGGGATGACCCTGACTGCACCAGTAGAACAGAAAAGACACATCTGTGCCTTATCTTATGTGCTGACCACAAAAGACGCACAGACCTAAGTCCGGAACAAGGCCAAAGCGTGTTCTCGGAGATGACAACCTCTTCCTCTCCGATAAGAGTAGGAAGAGGAAGATCCTTTTATGGTCAGAAGTACAGGAAGGAATTTCCTTTTATGGTTAAGAATACCAGAGCAAGAACATATGTGATGTCAACCTGTGTACATAGGCTGACGTGGTTGGATTCATATGGGAAGGAGGGAGAGGGTGCCTGGAGGATATATATACTGCATGAAACTTTCTTTGGACTTGCTGTGGACTTGATCACGCAAGTGCCTTCTGCTATCCGGAGAGCAGAATAAACTCTTTCTTTGAACCAACCTCGGTGTTAAAAAGGCCCTGCAATAGAAACCTAGTGCATCAGGGAGCAAACTGGGCTAGAACCATTCTTCCTGATGTGCTAGATTTTTACTTGCCCAGAGTGTTCTCATTTTTAAAAATTAAAAATGAATCTGGGAAATTAAAAATGGCAGGTCCTGCATCTTCAGTTTGAAAAGGTGCAGGCCAGTCTCTCACCACACCCAGCCACGGGCATAAGGCAGGCTATGCGCTCAGGACCACTTACCACTGCTCCTCTGCTGCGTATGTGGTTTTTAAAAACGCTGTCCAGAAAATCTTCCCATCCACGAAAAATGTTCAGCGATTCGTCAACCCATGTGGAATCCAGAGGACGCTTGCCACAGTTGTGAACCACTTCCATGTTTTCTATCTCTATCGGCGGTGGCTTGTTTCCACTGGCAATAATGGGGCGGAAGGCGGGGAGCCCAACAGTAGGTGGTGCCAGAGAGTCAATGACAGGCAGATCCAACTAGAATGCTAGTTCTCCCCTCTTCCTTCCTGCTGAACTCTACAAGGGACATCCTAAGACGATGGAGGCAGCCTACTGGCTGGCCCACTCCCCAGGGGCAAACCAAAGTTGGGTCACCTCTTCTGCCAACTCTCACACCAGGAGAACCCACACTGAAGCTGGCCCTATGCTCGGAGCACTGCTGTCGCAGGGTCTCTCCCCACCATGAACCTTCTTGTGTCTATTCAGGGCGGTATTACGCGTGTAGCTTTTCCCGCACTCAGTGCAGTGATAGGGCTTCTCTCCCGTGTGGGTCCTCCGGTGCCTGATGAGGTTGGACTTCCAGCTGAAGCTCTCCCCGCACACGGAGCACCGGCAGGCTTTGTCCCCAGAGTGGGCAATCTGGTGCCCCATCAGGAAAGCTCGCTGCTCGAAGCACTTCACGCAGTCCGAATCACACCGATGCACCTTCTCTCCCTTGTGGTTCTTCTTGTGTGTCAGGAGGTCGATCCGGTGAGAGAACCGTTTCTCGCATTGCGGGCACTTGTAGATCTTCTCGCCAATGTGGGTCCTCTCGTGGGCAACCAAGTCCAAACTATCGCCGAAAGACTTCCCACAATAGGAGCACTTATACACTTTCTCTGCTTCCGGTGGCATTGCCTGGTCTTCCGGAAGGGGAGTGTTCCAATGGAGGCTGGTCCCGTTCTCTTGGCCTCCCTTCCTCCCCTCAGTGCTCAGGAGGTTCTCAGGGAAGGTCCTCCTGGGTGCATTTTTAGCATCTTCCCCACAAAGCAGAGCTAGGTTAGGCTTGCTCTCCTGGAAGCTGTCAACCTGCTGCCCAGTCTCAGGAGTCTCCTCTACTTTGGGACCCCAAAAACATTCCCCCATGGCGATTTCCAGGGATGTCCTACTGCGGCTCATTCGCTTAGGTGTTCCTTGCCAAAAGGTCTTCTCAGACTTGAGCGCTCCGTTGCCGTTTCCTGAAACAAACCAGAGAAATGACATGAGAAGGAGAGAATGGGAAGGAGCCTTCAATTTTTGAAAAATAATAATTTAAAATAGTGTTCAGCTGATCAGTTGGTAAGATCAGGGGTAAGGAAACTGTGGTCCTTGTGGTAAGGTTAAAAAGCTTACTGGGAAATGATATATTGAAAAATTCAATAATGAATTGAAAAGGATGTTTAAAATAATGTTTGTAAAAAAACAAACAACCAGAAGCTTTTCTTTTGGGAATTAAAGGGACAAAACTACCTAAATTGTATAGAAACTTATTCATGTATGCCTACTAGAGTGGCAAGAATGTTACTCGCCTCGAAATGGAAAGAAGCAGAAGTCCCAGCAAAGGAAGAGATCCCTGGCCTCTTAATTTTCCCACAATTCCCTGGAATGGGAATTGCCTCCCCTCTTGTACAGGAGTGGTCTTCTTCTCTCCTGCCCCACAATGGTAGGCGAAACCAGAGCCAATGACAGGCAGAGCCAACAAATGCTCGCTTGGCCTCCTTCTTCTCTCCCACTGAGTTACAATGACTCCTCCCCAAAGTGGTTTGTATTAAGTTTCAGTAACATAGGAGAAAAACTATTTAAACAAAACAACAATAACAATTTTAAAAAACCCTACCAGAGTACATATCAGTTATTGTGGGCATTACAATAAATATCTATTATTATATTTATGGTATATGAAGAAGTGTGCATGCGGTACACGAAAGCTTATACCCAGAACAAACTTAGTTGGTCTCTAAGGTGCTACTGGACAATTTTTTTATTTAGTTTATCTACTATGAGTGAACTATGGGTTGTTTATGGGAATCATTTCCTCCCCATAACAATTCCTTGACTGCCAGTTAGGAAGAGGGTGCGCTTGGTACATATCCTCTCCACAGATGGCAGGGTATTTTTCTTCTGGCTATGCGTGGACTCTTATTTGGAAAATGAGTTCATTATTCATATTTATAGAATAGCATTCTAGCAACCAATTTGTGGAATTTGCTGTCAGAAGATGTGGCAATAGCAATCGGTTTAATGACTATAAAGGCAATCAGATAAATTAATGGAGGGAAGGATGGTTACCAAAAACCGCTATATGGAGCCTCCATGTTCAGGGACAGTGTAGCAGCAGGTGGGGGAGCAACAACAGGGAAGGACTATGGACCTGGTGCTTCCAGATAGGCCTCTGCTTGGCCATTCTGGGAAACAGGATGCCAGTCTTAGATAAGGCTTTGATCCAGCAGGGCTTTTCCAATACTCTTAAAACTTAACATAAAGCTATGTGGTGTTTTTTAAAAAAAGGAACCACTTCAAATAACAGCCTGGTAGCATCCCTGGAGTCGACCCGACAACCCTTACCCAAGAGATCGTCCTCTTGCATCTTCACCGAGTCTGTCAGATCCTGCTCCAACAAGGAGGCATTATCATCTCCTGTAGGCCTCAATGCCTAAAAGAGAAAGAGGAGTGCAACTCAGTAGAAAGCATAGTACCCAAAAGAGGGTCTTCTCCAACATCAATCATCTCTGACACTACGAGTGGCAGGTGAAGCCTTGGTGGGGGTATCACCAAACACCACTGGGGGGTTTCTGGTTGGCCCATGACAGGGCCTTTATAGTGGTGGTTCCCTATTTGTGGACCTAGCGAGGTGCATTTGTCTCCTTCGTTATTGACTTTCAGGGGGGGGGATTAAAAACACTGATATTTACCCATGCCTTCGGTGGCTGAAATGGCACACAATGAGATCTACGTTTTTTTGAACGTAGATCTTTTTTCTCCCCTGTTATAATTGATGTGTTTTCCATCCTGGGTGTCTTCAGGAGGAAGCGTGGGATAGAGAATGAAATAATTGTATTACTAATTTCATGTGGTGTGTGCCACAAGACAAGGGAAGACCTGTTCCCTGCCATCACCCACCCCAATCCACACAAAGCCCTCGACTGCCCTCCACATGATCGCACCACCAGTGGAAGCAGGAGGACCCCGGATTGGGCTCTCTCTCCATCCTTCTTTAATATACAAACAGAGTAGAAGAGTAAAGGATGATTAGAAATGTAGTTCAGCAATATCCGGAGGACCACAGATTCTCCTCATCTCTGCTCAGACAAAACAGGAGTTTAGAGACCATCTCACTTTTTCTTCCGGCCTCCCTTGCATCTCCACACCAACACTCTCCTCCTCAGACAAAACCTCTTCTTTCACCTTCACAAAATACTTCGGGCTTCCTGGAGTTTCACAGCCAAGGCCTGGCAGGGTGTGATCAATGCCTTCTCCACTATGTCCATGGCTGTGGTTCACAACCCCCTTCAAAGAAGCCTGGGATTCCCTTATATCAGACACCAACGAGGACTGGGGGCAGGGAAGCCCAGAGGGAGAGGATGCTGCTGTCTTCAGGAAATTCAGGAACTGGTCTTCCCATTCCAGCTGGGACCTAGAAGCGGGAGCCTGTTTGGCCTGCAGCAGACTTGCCCCACACAGAAACTGTCTCTCAGTCCCAAGTTGGACTGCAGGAGTCTCATTTTCTCCTCTTTCCATTTTCTCCCCGGGTTCATGGGCTGCTGCCAACTCCCATGCTTCCATATTCATTCCTGGCTGCAGCTCCTGGACTGGAAAAAAAAGAGAACGTAAGAGCCTGGCAACTGGATCAGGCCAATGGTCCATCGAGTTCCAACATTCTGTTCTCACAACAACCTTCTGAGTGCAATATTGCTCTCCTCACTTATGACTGCCAGCAACTGGCATTCAGAGGCATCCTGCCTCTAACCGTGGCAGACGCTGGGGTCTCAAATTTCAGTGAAGCCCCGTAAAACACCCAAAATTGGTGCCCCCCACTAGCCTTCCATTCTACATCATAGCTGCAGCGTCCCTAAACCCGCCTTTCCAGTAGAGGTGGAACGTAGCCAGCCTAGCTGGCAGATATTGATAGCCTTGTCTTACATGACTTTGTCTAACCAACTTTTAAAGAAATCTAAGCTCCTTTTGTGCTCCTTTTGCCTCTCCTGAATCTTCCAACATTTGGCTTCCATTGGATGGTTCACTAATTTGGGCAATACTACCCTCCCCACCCATCATAGTATAACTTCACTGAGGAAAGTGAGCCCAGACTCTTGAGGACTAGTACAGTCGTACCTTGGAAGTCGAATGAAATACGTTCCGGAAGTCCATTCGACTTCCAAAGTGTTCGGAAACCAAAGCGCGGCTTCTGATTGGCTGCAGGAAGCCACATTGGACGTTTGGCTTCCAAAAGAATGTTTGAAAACCAAAACAATAATTTCTGGGTTTGAGCTGATTTGTTCAGGAGTCAAGACGTTCAACTTCCAAGGTACAACTGTACACACACACACACACACACACACACACACACACAGGCTACACACTCTTAGCCCAATATATCCCTGTCTCTCACTCTCTATGGCTCATGTCTGACCACTCTGTTTTTTTCCCATTTTCCCAGTGTGGTTTTACAGTCAATTCTTCTTCCCGGGAAACCCTCAGAATTGCAGCTGTGAAAGGAACAGGTGTCTCCTAACAACTCTCAGAACCCTTCAAAATCACATTTCTTGGGGACTCTGTGGGGGAAGCCATGACTGTTTCAAGTGGCAGGATACTGTACTGTATAGTGCATATGGGGCCAGACAGAAGGGATGGCACAGAGCCTTCTGCAGTCCTGCAACTCTGCCCACCGTTGGCTGTGCCCCACACTGGCTTTTCCTATGGTGAACAAACTTCCATAGGAAAAAGATTCCCCCACCCTAGCACAGATGCACACATTCTCATTTATCTTACTCAGGTTAGGAGGGAAAGCTTGAGGGCTGAGAGGGTAGTCCACTAATCAGATCTATCAGGCTTCTTTGGTCAGGTGCGACAGATGCCCACCTTGCATTTGGCCACTGAACAGAGAATTAAAGTCTCCAAGAACAGCCCATGAAAAGCCATTCTGATGAACTAGTGACGAGAATCAATATAATGAGAATGGCTGGAGAATGCTAAGGCTGAGTGTTATCTTGACACTTGGTATGGAAAACCACAAGCTCAGCCTGGCCTTGTTGACATTCTTGAGTTCCTGGCTGAGATGCAAAAGTACAGAGTGGCTCATCTAGTCCAGCATCCTGTTCTCACAGCGGCCAACAGATGCCAGTGGGAAGCCTGCAAGCAGTAGCTGCACTCTTCCCTCCTGCAGTTTCCAGCAGCTGGAATACAGAAGTAAGACAATGTAGTCTTATCCTCCAGGAACTGATCTCATCCTCTTTTAAAGTCATCCAAGTTCATGGCTATTACTGCCTCTTGCAAGCTCCACAGTTTGTGTACAGAAGTATTGGTTTGAGGTGTGTACTTAGGATGTGACATGGAAGGAAGCTGGAGATCCTAGGAATGGGAACCAGCTAGAGGGGGTCTTAAGCAATAGGAACATTAGGGTTAGCACACCTTGACAGATACTTACCCAGGGAGGCTACCATCCCATAGTTCTCTGCCATGACTTCCCAGTAGAGCACCCTTTGGCCTGGATCTAGCAGAACCCATTCCTCCTCGGTGAAACACACGGCCACCTCTTTGAAAATCATAAGCCCCTGTTAAGAAGAAGGGCATGGAGGGAGATTCTCATTCCTCTGAAGCCGCCTTCTATCACATCACATCAATGACATGATTGAAATTATATATGGTACGGAGGAAAAAAAGTTTCCCTCCCTCTCTCATAGCACAAAAATCCTGGGCAGTACCCAGGGGGGTATGGGGTGCTAGGGAAAGGGTAGCACCTCTGGTGGGGGATACATTGTGCTCCCTGTACCTAGTTCTCAAACATGACTCCTAGAAGCTGTCAGCACAAGACAGTCACTATTCCCTGGGAATGGCTTCAACAGGTCAGCTAATCCAGGTGAGGGTAGCCAATGGGTCTCAAACCCTTGGTAAGGGACTTCCCCTGCATGCAAAGACAGGCTCTGACAGGTTGAATGGATGAGACCAATAGTGAGTCCAATGGTCAAGAGGGTGGTTTCCATACGTGCTGTAGAGAGAAATGAGAGGGAGATGGGGCATGTCAACCTGGGAAGGGAGCCCATGTAGGAGAAGGAAATCTCTGGTCCTAAACCTCCACTGCCTTGTGGGTTATCTTCAGAAGAAAAGGCTAAAGAGAAAATCCGACACACATCCAAAGTGGAGTCTCTAAGGAGGTTGCATGGCACCTTTTATGCCTCCTTCTGGGCAACTCCCGCAGCCAAGCTGGTGCCAAACATATTGTTCTGCTTTCCCTTGGACCATATCAGAAAGGTTGAGAATGGTCTCTTGTCCTATGGGCAGCCAAGGCCTTCACACACACGGCCCACGCTTGCACTCTGGAGATGTCGCAACAAGGGAGATAGCAGCCAGGAGCTCCTTTGGTGCTGCTAACGCGGTAGTTTCGAATTCACCCCCGGAGGCGCACTCCATTGTCTCTCTCATGACAGCCAGATGCCAACAACAACCCCGCCCACCTAACTGCGTTGCCCCAGCCACTCTGGGCGGCTTCCAACAGGCTATAAAAACCCAGCATAGCACAGAGAACTTCGCGCTGCAGGGCTGCCTTCAACTTAGGGCGATTTGGGGGGGGGGACAAAGGGGAAGCGGGATGAGGATCTCCCACTCCTCTGTACTCCTCGGAGGAGGAAAGAAGAATTAACAGCGCGAGAGAAGCAGCACCACCCCCAACCCCGCAACCCTCACCAACCTCGCAGGGCTGCAAGGAGCAAGAGCCAAACAATGCGCGCCCAGCCAGCAGCCCAACCCGGAGACCCTTGCTCCTCGTGCTAAGCCTCTGGGGATTCTCCTGACCTGCCTTTGGCTCTCCATCTCCAGCAGCCAGACGTCATCCTCTGCCCGGGGGGTGGGGGGTGGGATTCACAATCCCAGCTCTGCAGCAAACCGGAAGGAAGAGACCGGCTCTCGTCGACGCTTCCGGCCATAAACCGCCCACCAGCCAAAGCAGAGCCCACCACAGAGGCTGCTCTGGGTAGAGCGACGTCCCCATCAGGGTTGCCATGGTGAGCCGCTCTACCCTCGTTCTATCTTTATGGGTGGTTATTATAGATACTTCCGGCTTTCCGCTCCTCCAATGCAAAGTGCAAGAGGGAGCGCGGCTTCACCACAGAGATGACATTGCCTAGAGCGGGTTGTTTTTACGTCACGTGGTATTGTGTTTTCCTGGTCAGGAGGAGTCGGTGCTGGGCGGGGTGAGGGAGATGCTTTTATACGACACTGGAGGACCGTATGGTGGCCGAGTGGGGAAAGCTCCTGCAATTTAAGAAATGGGCATTTTAGCAAGTGTGGCATGGAAGACACGCTGCCCCTATTGCAGTTTTCTTTTCTGCACAGTTACTAAAGGTGGAGGACCCTTTGGCAATCAGCTTTATTTTGCCTGTTTATTAATGCATATCATTGTTTTTCGCTTTTGTTTGTTTCAGCGTTATTGTTGGTTTTAATTTTCGTTGTGAGTTTGCCGTTTTGTTTTGAAAAGCGACTCATAAGCCCTAATAATATTTAAAAAATCCTGTCTTCCAACAGTGGTCAACAAGGTGCCTGTGGGAAGCCTACAAAGCAAGAAACTCAGTAACAATAGTACTGTTCTCTCTACCTGTGTGTTCTCGTATTCAGTGTTCTCGTAGGGAACTCGTATTCAGAGGCATACCGAGCCCCACAAACTCCCAAAATCTGCCCCAAAGGGTATGTGGGGTAAACATAGGACAGGTTTAGGGGAGTACACGGAAGGAGAAGGGCACGTTCTGTTGCACTAGTATAAATCCTTCCACCAATGTAATGAGAGACTATGCTGGATATACAAGCCATAACATTTTATTGAATGTTTTTCTGTTTAGAGGCAGCAAAGGGGCTAGAACTGTTTGGAAGAAAAGTGCAGCAGTGAACTGGGCAAAACGTTTCTTTGCATGAGAGGAAAAGGACACATTCAGATCCGTTTTTTGTAGGGAGGCAGAGAGGAAATGGTCCTAATTTGAGAAGGGAGCAACTTGGTTCTTTATTTACATACAATTATTCAGTCTTGTTGGAAATAATGGGATTTGAATTAATCACAGCTAAATTGCCCCACTAATTTCATTTGGATGCATCTCAATACGAGTTGGATTTGAGCTGATGTATGTGGTTGAAGGCTGCTGATTCAGGCTTCAGAATGGAAATGCTTGGAATTAACCTTCATTTTTATGAACTTAAAATAGTTTATTAAAATTTAATTTCTTTGTTCTTAAGTGTAGAGTTATGAATACTTCATGAAGTTTATAGTAGATATGTCTCCAGCTCTTATTATTAATGGAAACTGTTATGTAAGTAGATTTATGAATTTTACTTTTTTTTGTCTTCAAGTGTCTTTTGGTGTTCTGAATTATATGTTTAATAAACTGGGTTTAACCTGCTTGCATTCAGTTTTATTTTAACCATTTAGAAATAAAAATAAAATTGTGTGGTGCAGCTGTAAGCATTTTTACTCCAAAGCAAACTGTCCTGAGTTTAATGGGATACAGGCCTAGTAGCATGCTCTGCTATTCTCGCTCTGAAACAGTTTCAGAGATCACTTTAGCTCTGCTGCTGACTTCTGGACTTAAAAAAAAAAAGATAGGTAAATTTAGAACCAGAGGACAGGTGAGACCCTCACTTCTGCCCCTAGTCGTCTACTACATCCACCCATGAACTCACGTTTGTACCTAAGTAGGGTGCTGCTCATTTGAGCAACTTGAACACTGCAAGCTTCAGAGAAAGGCAGAGATGGGGAACCTGTGGCTTTCCAGGTGCGGTTGGATTCCCAACTCTCCTCAGCCCCAGTCAGCATGCCCAACGGTCGGGGTGGCGAGAGTCACAGACCTATAGAGTGCCACAGGTTTCCCTGCTCTGGGCGTTGGGGACACAACTTCATAAAAGCTGCAGCAAGGAGAGCTCAGGGCATTTCCAGACTGTCACTATTTGAATGGGATTCAATTACACTGGGAGTTATTCTGCAACAAACATGCTTCCCCCCACAAAAGACCAGACTTTTTGCAGTAAGGAAAGTGACAGGGAAATGCACTGCAAAGTGTGGGATAACATTTGCTGTGGGGCAGCATTGACGAGCCAATCCACATTGCACATTTAAAGCCAGCCAAAGCTCATGATTTCCCTCAAAAAAATATTGGGAATGGTAGCTTCCACTCACAGATATGCACCTTTCCAGCACCCTTAACCAACTATGGTTCCTGGGATTCTTTTGGGGAAGTGATGTGCTTTAGTTAAGATTCCTGCACCACACGCGGTTGGACTAGATGACCCTCAGGGTCCCTTCCAATTCTACAATTCATTGAAAAGCACATGGGACACCTTAAATGTGTGGTGCTGATGTGCCCATTATCCAATCTCCCACAAACAAATCAGGATGAATGCTCAATAAACAGGCTGTCTCGAAGTGCCCTTGATTTAGCCCCACATTTTAACTTAAAACTGCCTGGTTACAACACAGTTATTTTATGCAAGCATTTCATTAGCCCAGACGTTCTTCTGGCTGACACTATTGTTTCATCTTGGGTTTTTTGTTTTGTTTTTTAAACCCGCTGCACCACTGCCTGTGTTTATGTTTGTTTTTATTGCATTTTTTATATGCTGTGAGCTGGCTCTGAGCGCTGTGTTTTGTGGGGGAAGGGCAGGATATGCATTTCCCCCCTAAGTAAATAAAATCAATAAAAGCCTCTCTGCTCAGTCTGCTGTAGTCATTTCTGCCGCAACAGCTTCTCCCCCAGAGATTTAAAAGCCGAGAGGGTGTTTCCTCCCCGCTCCTCCTTTGGGCTTCAGACCTACTAGGAAACTATAATGGTCTGCAATATGTAATCAATAGTAAAAAAAGAAATGTTCCTCAGCAGCTGCAGTCTCTGAAATAGCAGCCTCTGCACAGTGATTAACAAAAGATGTTGCTGAGCTGGAAAGGACATGGAAAAGGGCAATCAAAATTATCAAACCACTAAAGCAACTTCCCTATGAGGAAAGGTTAAGTGTATATATATATATATGACAATTTTCTCCAAATTCCCCCTGCTTCAGATTGCTGGAAATTATTGAGGCCCACCAGTCACAAAATGAAGGCAACATTTGACATAATAATCTGGCAATTACTGTCCTTTTTTTTTTTTTTAACTGAAATCTAATCCATCTTTGAAAATGGTTGAATTCTATGCTGCACTATTTTCCTTGTGGCAAGGCGTTCCAGAGCTCACCTTTCCTCAAGTTCAGTGCAGCTGCTGGAAGTGGTAAGAGAGGAAGAGTGTTCTTGCAGTTGCGTCTTGCTTGTCAGTCTCCCAGAGGCATCAAGCTGGCCACTATCTGGGTGCTGAGATGCACTTAGGCAGGGAGAACCAGCTGCACAAATATAAGATGGGGGGCACCTGGCTTGCCAGAAGTACATATGAAAAGGACCTAGGAGTCTTGGTAGACCACAACTGTGATGTAGCAGCAAAAATGCTGCTGCTATTCTAGGCTGTATAAGTAACAGGACTGCACTAGTGGACGCTCGGGTTGCAAATGTGATCCGTGCGGGATGCATGTTCGCAACCCGCAGCATTCGCAAACCGCAGTGGTGCGTCTGCGCGGGTTGCGATTCGGTGCTTCTGCGCATGTGCGACCACCGAAACCTGGAAGTAACCCATTCCAGTACTTCCGGGTTTCAGTGGTCTGTAACCCAAAAAAACAGAACCTGAAGCGTGTGTAACCTGAAGTATGACTGAATTACGCCTTGGTCAGACCCCACCTGGAGTCCTGTGTCCAGTTCTGAGCATCATGATTTAAGGATATTGACAAGCTGGAACATGTGGTTAACTAAGATCATCAGGGACGTGGGTGGCGCTGTGGGTTAAACCACAGAGCCTAGGACTTGCCGATCAGAAGGTCGGCGGTTTGAATCCCCACGACGGGGTGAGCTCCCGTTGCTCGGTCCCAGTTCCTGCCCACCTAGCAGTTCGAAAGCACGTCAAAGTGCAAGTAAATATGTACCGCTCTGGCGGGAAGGTAAACAGCATTTCCATGCGCTGCTCTGGTTTGCCAGAAGCGGCTTAGTCACATGACCTGGAAGCTGTACGCCGGCTCCCTCGGCCAATAAAGCGAGATGAGCGCTGCAACCCCAGAGTTGGCCACGACTGGACCTAACGGTCCCTTTACCTTTACTAATCTAGAGAGAGAAATAGAAATTCAGATCTTTGGAAGCAAATAGGAGACCAAGACCTTACATAGGATGTTGGATTTCTCCAAGGCTCATTTCAGTCATCCTCTGAAGCCACAGAGACCAGTTTCATAGTGGGTGCATCTCTGATGCGTGGGGGGACAAGTCAAGTCAAGGCCTCTTAAGGAGTTCCCCATTTAAATCCAACTACCCTAACCAATGCCATTTCCACCAAGTTGTGGCAAAGAAAAGGCTGGGCCACTCTGTGGAATGTAAGCAAGCAGAGGGCAGGCAAATGGGAAGGAGCAGATTGGACCTAATGGTCAGGGGCCCCTTTACCTTAAGATAATCAAGGGTCTGGAAATCAATTCTTATGAAGAATGGTTCAGGTGGTTGGATATGTTTAACCTGGTAAAGAGGAGACTGAAAGGAGATATAATAGCCATCTTCAAATATCTAAAAGGTTATCATCACATGGGAGATGGAGCAAGTTTGTTTTCTCCTGCTCTGGAGGGTAGGACCCAAACCAATTGCTTCAAGTTACAGGGAAGGGGATTCCGACCCTGCATTGTGGAGGACAACCCCAACACAAGTTTTAGCTAAGCCTGCGGATGGTACCAATTCTGCCACTTCATTCTGCCATCTTAGTCTGCAAATTCATGTTTAACAACTGTGTTTTGTTACACTTTTTTTTTTTAAAGGATCAACCTCCAGCCATTTCACAGAACAAGAATGCTAGAGAAGAGAATGGTCCTAGGCA